TCTTGACTGTCATTGTTATTCTTTCTTTTATCTCATCTCACTTTAACCTATTGTCTTTCTCTTTTATTATTGGTTTTCTGTCTCTCTTGTAATTCATTTCTCTTCTCCTCTTAAGCATCACTTTTAAGTGCTACATATTTTTGCTACACTCCTTTATGTACTAAAATGGCCCAAATATAAACAGGTTCAACTGGCCTGACTATCACTTATTCTCTAAATTGATGCTATTTTATTGGGCTAATGTTCTTTTGTGCTGTTACTACCAGCTAGCCACTATCTCGTGAAGGACATGTAGACATGGCATTTATCACAAATGCATATATTTCCATTTGAAGGAGAAAACTAAAAGCAATAAAAAAATGGCCTAAAGCATTTAAGTGGTTAGCAAGGTGGTGTCTAAATACTATATAAAATATACTGTCCACTCACAGAGTTCTGTGATTCAATCAGCATTTGTGATGCTTGCTTTAAACAATCTAATACAAGACACTTGTATAAATTATTTCAGTTGATCAAGCCACCATAAGTCTGCTATAGATTTCTATGATATGGTTTTAGTTCAGCTGATATAGGATACCTCTTCCTTTCATGCAGTAACCATATATTTCCAATGTTCAATCACAATTCTCTGCTATTCTATAGACATCTGTAGTTGGCACAATGTTTTGACTCTTTCCTAATTTCTCCATGTATTGAGTCAGCAAGGGCATTCTCACTATTCAACTCTCTTCAGTGCTAATAATGTTTACAAGAAACAAACACACACACACACACACACACACACACACACACACACACACACTAGATATTTTTCCAGTAAAATACTTTCATATAATCTTTTCTTCATTCAGTTTTGATTCACATTATCTGTTATAAACTTGATGAGTGAAACAACAGTAATTTTCAAAATTCATCAATGTCTACTTCATGTGAATGTCACATATTGAAGCTGCCAGATCATAACTTGCCTACTGATGCTTTATTTTTATAAAATTAGAATTAGAAAACATCCTTTGTAATTTAGATATATTTTACTTTATTGACCTAAAGACAAAATCTTTACTCAATTTGTCAGTGTGGTCTGTACAGCCTCAATATAAGTAAATTATAAAGGCTAACTTTTATTTCACCATCTTTTAGCAAAAATAATAAGCAGTCAATCTTTAAAATCTCTTAAATTTGTAAACATTTCAAATTGGATTTTATTGTCTGCATGAATATTGATTTAATTTTATTACAACAGTAAACAATTTTAGAATCATATTTGATAAGCCATAAAATTCACAGTACATATATTGCATGTAGCCAGTTACAAATATTCAAATTTAATTTAGAAAGCTTGTTATTTAGATGAGAAAAATACAGCAACTTTTTTATTCAAAACAACTGTAAATTTTACTTTTTAAAATTGAAATGTCAAATGTGCTTTTATATACTTATTTGACTTATATAAAAATTAATGACTTGTATTTTGTAGCACATGTAACCCTTATAAAACAATTCATACTCTTGTCATTTTATTAATAAACTTTGAACTTTCATTTGAATTTTATACTTTCTTTTTCTACAGGATTGTTTTAATATATTATACTTATATCATGCAACCATACAATTATTCCATATTCCTATATATATATATATATATATATATATATATATATATATATATATATATAATTAAAATATATTTTACAATAGTATGGCATCAAATATTGTTAGTGTAGAGATAGATCAGTCAGCACTGATGTTATAGACAATAGAAATAACTATCTTATCAAAAGTTGCATCAATTCTTACTACTGTTAGACTTCTTGTCTTTCTTTTGAATGAATCTTTTAATATGCTTGTATTGTTTTGTTGTTATCAGACTCTTAGACTTGTTGTATTTAATTACTCTAAAGAGATTTGATTGTGTATACATATATGCGTATGTGTTTCTTAATATTGCAGTGGAATTTCTGCTGAAATTGTAGGTGTAAAAAAAATAAATTAAGAATATAAGTAAAAAAAATTAGAATTATCAAGCATCCATCCAGACTTGTGATATCCTGTTTTGTTTTTTTGACTACATTTGTAAGTTTTGTTTTGAATCTAGATTAGATTGTATTAGATGTATCTGATCTGCCATTTCCTTGATAAATCAATAATTTTAGCTTTTAGCCTTGTCTGTCACCCAGTAGACCAATCTTATCAGTTTGAGATAACAGGAAATGTATTTGCTAAGATTGTCTCTGTTTTAGCTGCTGCTGTTGCTGCTGCAGTTGCTGCTGCAGCAGCCTCTCTATAAATTAGCTTTTCTATTGATTCTCTAAGGCTGTAGTTAATGTTCTCTGCTTAAGTTGAGGCTAGGCAAATAAACATTATTAAATATTAGTTTTACATTTAAAGGGCACGCCTTTGTGATTCTAAAAAACATCAAATGAATGATTACTTAGATTCTTTCGAAAATCAATCATTTGATTGTGTCTGCATTTTGTGTTATGTTTCTTTGCTTTTTGTGATGGTTGCCATTGTTAAAATATTTTTTGATGTTATCAGATTACTTAATTATTTCCTTTCTGAGATATATTTATTGATAAATCTTATGGTTTCATTTTAAATACTTTAAAGTCTTTTTTATTTTTTTCTGCATAAAAACATATTCGAGTCTTCATATTTTTTTTTAACAACATTGCTCTATGATTTAAAATATATATATTGCAAACACTTGTTCAAAACAATACTAACCTTAATAAATAGATAAATTGCTAAAGCAGTGTATATATTTGGAAAGAGTAGGTTTCTAGCATTATATTCTTGCAAAAAAAAAATTATAAAATAGGAATTTTTCAATAATCCAGATGTGTGCCATCATAGTATTCTGTAGTCATTTCAAGTATATATTCTGAAAAGATAGAGGTAGGATTTAAAACAAATTGTATTTATATTATCAGCATGGATAATTTTTCTTTTAGTTTCAGTTTACTTTGTGAAAAACTGGAGGCTGTAATAATGTCATTATATGAAGATAGTTGTTGATATTTTTTCTAAAATTTATTGAACATGTTGCACATGATCAATTTAGTAATGAAAGCATTCCAAAACATTTTGACAGGCATCATTTAGTTACATATGTACAAAGGTTTATTGAAGATAATAGTTGCTGTGTGTCATATTAGTTATGATGTGTTAACATTTTTTTACGTTTTCTTTTTTAAAATAAACCCTCATTGAGACTAGTTTTAACTTTACTTCATAAATCACTCAGCTTATATGAATTCTTCTTTCTTTGTTGATTCCTTATTTTGAAATATACCACTTTCATTTTTTTTTTCCTACTTTTAAAATTCTAAACTTTTCTTGCCTTTTTCTTGTTTCCTTCTTATTTACTCTTAAAAAGGTGAAAAGAAAGCAAACCATAATTTGTTTTCTTTCCATTAGGCAATGCCTATTATGAATAATTTGTGAGCAATGTTGTCAATGTTTCTCTCAAACTAAAGCTTGTAAGAATTCAAGCACCACAAATTTTACTCTTGGACACACCCAATGTGAATAACATATGTTCATCATCTATGAAATAATTAATCATCAACAAACCAAGAAAACCTTCAAATCTCATTGTTTATTCTTATATTTCCAGAGCTAACAGCATCTACCAAACCTTATGTTTTGTTTTTCTTTTGATATAATTTATAGAAACTGTTTCTTTACTTGCTTATGTTTGAAATGCTACTGTAGTGTATCAATTCTCAGCAGAGCATAACCTATAACTGGTCTGCCATTTTCAACTTGGTGGATATAAAATATTCTGTATCTTAAATATATAAGAATAGTGTGTATTTAGAATTATGAACATTTTAACAAAGTATAATACCTACTATAATCACTTTGCTTCACCTTTAGTATTTTTTATTTCCTAAAGTTATGTTGTATACTTAAAACTACTTTTATGTCATATTGTCATATCTTCATGTCTTTATTCATCAACAAATCAAATATTTACTTAATTTTATATTTTTCATTAATTTGAGACATTACGATTTACTTTTAATATTGTCTTTTGTACATTTGTGTATTTTAGCTGAACTGGGTTTTGTGTGTAAGTCCAAGAGGAATTAGGCAAAGATTTTGCTATTATTTTGTTTCTTGTTCTTCTCTCTCCAATTGAATGGTTGTGTTGCAGAAGAATTGATCTGCATTTAATCGGTCAATAATTTGCACAAATTAAGAAAGTGGATATAATTATTTTGTGAATCAGTTCAAATTAACCTGTACTACTAATTGATTAAAACGAAAACTCTATCTGCTAGAGAGAGAGAGTGAGACAAATATCCTATTTTGTTATTTCTCTCTAATATTGTGTTGTGCTAAGCAGATTCTTCACTAGATTCTTCCTCTCTATCCTCTTCTTTATTTCCAGCCATGTCTATTTTGATTGTTAATCAATAGTAAATCCATGCCCTTTACATTTTTATGTAAATGCCATTGAAATCCATTTCTCTCCTTCAGTTTTAATTGAATTTTCTTCACTGTAAAATTTTTAACTGTTATTAAAGATATTTGGATAGAAATCAGAATATCAATCTGATTTTAATGTTTATAAATGTACTTTTATGTTATGTCTTTGCTATTTCATATTTATTTATTTCCATCTTGTTCACATATTTGCTACATTTTTCTATGTGTCAAGAATTGTTCAATTTACTCATTTATTTGGTCACTTTTTAAAAAAAATATGCAAGACTCATTAGCTTAAAATATTTTTCATATTTACTTTACAAATCAATTCTTTTATTCATTTCTCTCATTTTTTCCCTTGTCTAATGTTTTTAAAACTAAAATAATCTTAAGCATTCAGAACAAAAGTAGTTACGACATGTACAGATAAATGCTTAATTCATTTCATATTGCATTTTACATTCATCAAATAACAAAAAAATAATTGTTTATTGATGATATAAAAAAGGAAGTGGGTTATCAAAAGTTTATGTCCATAATTGTTTGACATTACACTTCTGATCATGCCTTCATTGAAAGCCAACTCTTCTTCTCTTTTGCATCATTTCAGTTGGCCAGTGATTTCAACTGTTAAAAAAGAAATGACTCTGCTCACTTGTCTTGAACAATTATAATTCAGTTTTCACTTTTCATATGGCTAAATTTACATTATAAATATTAAATCCTAGATCAGTAACTTGCATTATTTTGCATCAATGAACCACTTCCTAATTCTCATACTAACATACACTAATGTGCATGTGAATACATATGTTTATCTGTCAGTGCATTAATATAATTGTGAATGATATTGATAATTCAGAACTCATCTCAAGACTTGTCACTTGTGTGTATTTACAGATATACTATTTTGCATTTAATTTGTTACAATGATTCTTATAGCCAGTTGTGAGTAAACAGTTTTTTGCTTCTGTTTCTAAATGTCATTGGCTGTGAATCTTGTAGTCATTCTGCACTCAGACAGAAAATGAGGGTGAAGTCATCCAAAGTAGTGGTCACTTAAAACAAGACCTTCAGATGCCAAGAACTTTGTCTGCATTCTAATCACACATAGATTACAATGAATGCCAGTCCTTCTCAAATCAGTTCATTGTTACTCTTTCTTCTACATTATTTTTTTCTTCCGTTCAATTTCTTCTTAAACTTAACTGATTTACCAACACTGTAGACAATTCTATTTCAATACTCTTAAGTTCAAATTTTGAGCCTTTTTTCTTAGTTGTATCTATCTTATTGTAAAGAACTTTTACAGCTTTTCATCAGATAAAAATGGGTATTATTTCTTAATTGTGATATATTTTCTTGTACTAATATTTTTAAAAATATAAAATAGTGCTGAAGTTGAACTTTTTTATTCTGTAATTTATTTATAGTACTGTTAACCTCTGCTTGTTTATGAATATCTGTCATGAGGATGTACATTGTGGTGTAATGGATATCAGCTGACAGTGAGAACCTGGAGAGCTAAGTTCAAATTCCAGTTGAGTTTGTTAGATTCTTACACACAAATACCAGTGGGAAAGGTATGAATCCATCTCTTCTCTACCCCCAAGCTATGGGTTAAATAGCAGGACAGACTGGGTTCTTTAGCTTTAGTAGGCAACCAGTCTACTGCAGAAAAAATGGCAAAGTACTTTGGGAAAAAAATCTGCCTTGTCAGTTATGTATTGAAAGATACATTATCACCCGAGTGTGTATCACATTATGGCACTTAGCTTTGTTCTTATGATCAGTCAGTTGAAGTAAGGGAAGTAACTCTTTACATGGCAATGTCCATTCTATACTAAAAATGTAAAATTATTTCCTATTTAAAGTCTTAAACATGATTTTTTACATTTATAATATAAGATAAAGAAAATTAATCTGAATATATTTAATAACATTCTACCCCTGCAAATGTGATTTATATATTTATAAATCTTGTTCAGTTATTAGATGAAAGGGTTCAATCATTAACTTTTATACAATTCTGTGTGTACACACACTTTTTACTTTTCTAATGCCAGTTGATGCTACTTTTTATGTTGCAAGTTGTATTAAACTTGAACTCAATTTAAACAAAGTAAGAATGTCTAAATCTTTTAAACTATACTGTTGAATGAGTCAAGGAAATTAATATTAAGTTTTGTTTTTGGAATAAGGAGAAAATCAGATGACAGGCAAATTAAATGACTTTTCTATTTGTCTTTTTCTTCTTGTCTATGGCTTTCTGTTAGCTTTTTGTGCTGTCAAAGCAGGTTTGACACTTATATTAGGTGACTTTGAATATGAACCTGTAAACCTCGTGATACAGAGATAACAGTTCATTTTTACTGAATACTGATTTTGATTGTCTCCTAGCCTGTTTGGCTATTTTGTATTGTCATCATTAGAAGCTCCTCCTCTTCATCTAATTATATGTCCTGCAGTTGGGAGGATTTTTCTGAGCTTTGACAATGCTATGTATAAATTAGATACATCATGGGTATAAAGTTCTAAGGATTTACTAATTACACAAGCAGATAACAACAACCACAATAAGTATATGAACATATCTAAATTATAAGAGAGAACTACAAATTCAGTCCAAGTGAAAAAAAAAAATAGATATTTATATTGTATTTAAAACACATGATCTGTACTTTATGGTCATGTTGTATGACATTATTCAGTTTCTGTAATAATTGAAATGGTTTGGCATCGCATTAAAGTTTTTCTTGCACATTAAAATCATTAATAAAAATAGAATAGAAATGCACTTATAAAGTTTCATTATCTGAAAATTAATGTTTAGTTTAAAAAGTTGTTCAGTAAAGGTTTAAGCTTAAAATAAATGATACTCAAATCTATCATTTTAATTCTAAATAATTTTAATACAAAATTTAATTTTTTTAATCATTGTATTTCTTTCTATACTGTTAATACTTAGTGACTTTCACTAGAGAACAAGTAACGGCAAGTCTTTTCACTACTCTAGCACTCTTTAGTATTCTAGGTGATTTTAGTAATGGCTTTTATTCTTCTTTGATTTTCCTATTCTTTCAATAGCATCAATAATGTTGGATGTTACTGTACTTTCAGGTTCTATGCTATTTTCAGTTCTCTGAAAAGGCCCAGATATTTTTGTAACTTTTCATTTTCTTTAGCAACATCCACTATCTGACAAATTTTATCTTTTCAAGAAGGTCTAGATCTGGATTTCTGGCCTGGTTTGGGTGGGCATGACTTCTGTTTTTTGAATTGTCAGATCCTAGTTGATTGTATAATACTTAGTGGATCAGCTTTCCTATCCAGTCATGTCTATTTTATACCCCTTTTGAAGCAGCTTTATATCTTGGCCTTAACATAATTTCTATTTTTAAAAACCGTATTGTCAAAAATTGACATTTTTGTTTATGAATTCTAACAGTAAATATGGGGAAAAATAAGCATATTATGTGGTTTTCTTTTTAAAAAAGATGAAACATGAACTCAAATGTATAATTGATTTGTAGAGAAGTTACTTTGAATGATAAAATGTGTCAAAATTAGCTTGTAAAATTTTTGTGCTGTCAAATAAACCAGTTGATAACTAGTAAATGAAGACATTACTTAAGTGTTACAAAACACAAGAGACAGTCAGCATACTTGAAATATTAAAATCAATTATTGAAAACTATTTGCACCAGCAAATGTTAGTCACTCCCATATTTTCTCAATGTATGATTTGTTACTTAAAATATTTTACAACAATGTGGAATACAAGTAATTTTGGAGTCAAGCAAAATGTACCACCACTAACTATATCAAAGGCTGGTCTTTAACCCAAGATGATACTGTGTATATAGTGGGATTGGAATGGAGTTCAACTGTAAGCTATTTCTGAAGAACCAAACAACTGATTTGAACAAATGCAGCTTCCAATGAAACCAAATGAAGGCAACAATCAATGAAAAGTAACTGAAGTTAATTAAAGAGAAAGAGCATAATATTCCATAAGGATAATGCAAGACTGCATATTTCTTTAGTGACAATGCAGAAATTGATGAAGGGGTCAAGGTTTATAGAGTATTTTCTATAGTGTTGTCTAATTTTCTAGATTATAAAATTTCTTTGTTTATTTTATTTGTTCCATACAAAAAACACATTGTAGATATTTGCCACTTTTAAATTAAGTTTTCACTCAATCAGAAAGTTAAATAGAATAAGTATAGTTAAATTAAAAATATTCATATATTTCTTATAAGATATTATGACAAAGCTTTATGTATCCATTTTTGGTTTCCTATGGACATTATTAAAAATAAAATATTTTGAGAAGACAAATGTTTTATTCATTATTAGAATGTGTTATATTCATTTGAGAATGAAACAATTTTAATAAGGGCATCACAATGCACATAAGGGCAGCACTTAAGATTTCTATTCTGATTTGTTTCTAAATCTTATTTTTGTCTTATTTTTCAGAAGAGACAATCAAAGAATTGACAGCTAAGCTTAAAGATTATGACGATCAGCTTGAGGCAAAAACGGAAGTAAGTGTTATTTCAGTTACTGTTTTTAAAAGTATTTTGTAAATAGATCATGTAATAATGAAAATTAATTTAATAAAATTAATTAAATATAAAAGTTTCTGTTGATCTTTTTAAATGTTTCAAACTTAATTTCTACAATATATTCATTTTTTCTTGATAATTATTTGATTAGTATGTTCTTTGCTCATCATTATGTTAATTTATGATAAATATTCAGTTCCTTGGAAAAGTTACGATATGAACAGCTCAATAGAAAATTGGACTGGAGGCCAACTAGTTTTTGATGGTACAAATGAGGTCCTGTAACCATGTCAATAAGTAAGAAAAATCTGAAATCAAAATAAGTTTAGTTGACTCTCTTACTACTACATAGCAAGAAACTGTTACTAAAAACTTTTACTAAAAACTTTTACTCACATATTTCTCTAAAATTAGACTGCTTTGTGATGAACAAACTAGTGTTGTCAAGTTCCTGGTTTAAGAGATGTATTCTGAGCTTTACTTTTTGTCAAGAGAACTGATTGACTATTGAGAGTAGTGAAATTCTTTTATGGAAAATATTTTTGGTTTAGATTCCCTTTTCACATATAATTTTTATAAAATTTAGACATGTTTGTTTGTTTTATTATATAGATTATATGAAAGATAACTAAAAATTAAGGTCCTGATAGGTATAAATTAACCGGAATTAAAAAACAATGTGAAAACTGTAAACACAAAGCCATAAGGGTATGCAATACTTCTTTTAACAACCAGATCAGCCTTAATATTCATGCACCTGTGACATCAAAACAAAGATACCTGCCATTAAACAAAGGAAACAAAGAAAGAAATGTGAGCTACAATCAAATTTTTGCATACCATAGACACTGTGGACTTGTTGATGAACATGGTGATCATGTAATGAGCAGAAAGCATGTATCAGTTGTGTGTTCACAGGTGATATGGATCTGCAGAACTATCCTCATATAGAATGCCCATATTCATCAATAATAGAAAACAATCTTGTGTAAATCAAAGTTTAAAAAATCTTTATGATATGGCTGTGGAACTTGATTTTCCAAAATCGGTGGTCCATGTAACCATCCGTGAGAATTTGGGGTATTGGAAAGTGTCATCTTGTTGTCTTCCTAAGCAATTGACTGAAGAAGTTCCAGTACATGCTTCTTTTTTTTTTTTTTTTTTCTTTTTTTTTTTTTTGCTTCCCCCCAAAAAAACTTTCGGAACAATATAAGTGAACTGATGGGTATTTTCTAGAATATATGATACCATGTGATGAGACCTGGATGGCAGAAGACAAAGGTTGATTCCATGACATGAAAACATTAACATCAACCACCTACAATCTCAAAAGTCAGAAGAAAATGATGGTTACTGTGTTCTGGAATGCAAAAGTTGTGTTGTTCATGGACTTCATACTGTATGGTCAGAGAGTTGATGTAATCAGTGTGAAACACTAGGTAAACTAAGGGAGGCTGTTTGTTATAAGAGGCAAGTATGTTTGCATCAGGGCCTCACCTGTTGCATGATTATGCCAGTTTATACACAACCAACTTGAAAAATGAAGTGTCTCCAGCATTATGATTGGGATGTTTTGCTACATTCACCATATAGTCCTAACTTTGACTTATTCAGCTTATCATATTAACTGTTTGAACTTCTTAAATGGCATTAACCTGGAAAGTTTTACCATGTTGCAAAGATGTAAGGATGGCTCCAGTTACTTGATCTCATACTCTTTCAAGAGGGTATTTGTATGCAATGGAACAAGTGCATCAATGGTAACTATATGAAACCATAGCCTAGTAGAGCTGATAACTTATGCCCAATGTTTTATTTGTATAGTAATAAATGTGCTAGATTAGTAAATGTTTTTACCTTACTTCTTGGATATCCATTATATATCGATTGCTTTATTAGTCTTTTTTCACCTTTCTTCATTCATTTAAAAATTTGAAAAAAGTATCATCTACTCTTACATTCTGATATCTTTTTCTATTAAATCACACAGACAAATACATTAAATATTTGCATTCACTTTACAAATTTTTTTCCCTTAACCTAGAAAATTCTAAACTTAATTTAAACTTTTACAAATTTAAATCACAATTTAACTAAGCCAATGAAAAATTTTCTGTAAATTTTTTTTTTTTTTACTTTGTATTTAGTTACGTTTTTGCATATTAGCATTTATTTCTTTTTCTATTTTGGAAAATAAAAAAAATTGTTTGCTTTGTATCTCTGTTTTTGTTGTAAGTAGGTAAATGTTTTTAGCATAGAATAAGAAGCAATGATATTTTCAATTCTATCTTTACTGATTATATATATTCATTAACCACATTTTACTAACAAAAAGTTAAACTTTTTACTTTCAAATATTGCACAACTAACAGGAAGTAGTCTGCAGAAAACCATTATTGTTATATTCTCCAAAATTGTACATGCAATGAAAAACTATGAGATAATAACAAATAGTCCAAACCTCTTCATGAACACTCTTGAAAGGTCATTTGAAATGTTCCCGTATGAAACATTCTTCACTTAATTAAATGACCTGATTTAATACAAATAAGACAAAATTTAATTTTTCTAAATATTTTTTCCTAATGATTGGAATATATTTGTTTAATCAGAAACTGTTTCATGCCAAATGCTTGTTGTTGTGTTTTTTACATTGTGTATTTTGTCAATTGATGATTTCTTAAATTTCCAATTGCACCAATAATTACAAGTTTAATAATGTCAGAAATAAAATTAAGATTATTGATTCTATGCAGTCCAATGTTTTGTGGAATTGGATAATATGAAAAATTCATGTTGGCTTGATTAGAGAAAATGCATGTTGCTAAAGAAAATCAATATTTATATATTTAGCAAATTATTGCATAGATTTTTTTTCAACTAAATTAACAAAATATAATGATAAACAAAACTTTTAGATTGAGTTAAAATTATTGAAGTCTCAAAGGATTGTCAAAATAAAAGTTTGCAATCCCGACAGTGTTTTTTCTCCCTTCTCCACTTCTATTTTTTCTATTATTGGCTTCTCTATAAATCTCTTTCAAAAGTTTTTATTATTGATTTTGAAAATTTTAGAAGATTTTCTTTGTGGCTTAAGTGAGATTGATTTATTATATTCACAGTATCTGAACTAATCTACTTCAATAAATGTGTATTGATTTCCTTGATATTGATGACTGATAAAAACCCTGTGGGCTAATGTTATATTTCATTATGAGCTTCCCTTGCTATCTAATATTTGTTCAATAAGCAAATGTACTCAAAATAGCAGTTCTTGTTCTTGTGTGCCTCTATTTTATAATAGTGCCACTTCTATGGATTAAGATATATATGTAAAGCTATGTTCAAATTATGTATCAAATTTATTAACATATGGAACAAAACTCCTCAAATGATCACTAAAAGAATCCTATATTGGTTACAGTGAATGATTTAACTGCTATGCAATAATTTTGTACAAGGCTAGTGTTTGCTCTCATATTTGAAACTTAAATTTAATATTCTTTCTAAATATCTTAGAAATATTTACTATGTACTAGCAGTAGAAAAAACATTACTTGAGACTGGAAATTACTGATTTCACAAATCTTAAATTTAAATTTTTTTTAGTCTAATTTTGTTTGAGAGATCAGGTTTATGCTAGTTTACTAGCTGTAATTGATTTCAGTATTTTTTTATCAAGATAACTTTTTATGTTATATTTGCATGATTTGTGTTAACTGACAAAAGATATGATCTATGTTGAAACCAGTTATTTTAACAATATAGATAAAAATGAAATCTTCTACTTGGAATAACTTTTTGATCAGAGATATGCTCCTTTCTTAGTTTTCAACTATGATTCTTTTACCTGTGAAGAAATGTCAAATTGATGATTAGTTGATTATTAAGTATGTAACTGTGACTTTGTTGTATGTTGTGACAGATTTGTATGTGCTTTTGGACTGGCTGGAATATCCAGTCAGATGGCTGTCCATCATTAGGTCAGTTATGTTGATGCGGTATGAGTGGCTAAGTGAAGAAATTAGGCTACATATCAATGTGGTTCACATCCATCATATGGCAGCTACCAGCTAAATGACAATATATCACAATCAAGCAAATAGAGAACTGCCACCATCACCCTTGTTGGTTCCCTCCTTGACTGTCCTGTCAGCATTGGTGACAACAGAATCAGAGTGACAACACACAAATCAGACTGAGGGGAGCAAAAACTTGTTTCTGGGGTGCTGGCTCAAGCCACCACTGGCGGACAAGGGCACTCTGGCCCAAATCATGTTGCTACCGCTTTCTCTTACAGGCCCGGTTTAAAGAGAAGGAGAAAGAGATACAGAAGACTTTTGACGAAAAAGAACGCCTACTTCAAGAAACTCAGCTGACGCTTTCAAACAAATTGGGCGAAGCTGAGCAGAAGGTCAGCGCCCTACACAGTGGTGAGTCCATATTTGTTTATTTTTCCCCACCTTGTTTTTTTATCCTTAATGACTTGATGTCCATTTGACTACCTGCCTGCCTCTGACTATAATTGCAACTAGAAGAGTTGAACAAATTTCAATTTTAAATCATTTTACATCAGAAAATGAAATTTAATATGATGGCATTTAAATTGTTTTAATCATTACCTTTCTTGTCATTTGCATGTTTATATCACTGAATTCAGTTTTCATGATAATGTTTTCCTAGACGCTTAATTTAATCAGTTACTTATTAAAGTGTACTATATTCAATAATTACATTGGTTATATTATAGGTTTTCATGTGTATATTGTGTTTGAAAATATATTTAGCTTAGTAATTTACTAATTTGTTTGAACTGGAATATTCATTTTTGTCATTTATGTTTTTTCATAAAGACTTTGATTTTCCATCTTTTTCTCATAAAGCAAACAGCTTCAAAAAGATTATTGCTGAAATAGTGATTTTTATATTTACAAGTTAAAAATCATTTGAAAACTAAAGTAAAGCTAGAAAAAATTAATTATGTAATCTCTTTTAATCTGTTAAATCAAAACAAGTGTTTTACATTTTACAAGTTTTTTATCATACAACATGCAAGCTGAAACTATATGAAATAGTTGTCCAGATTTTTTATTTAAATTGAAGAAACAGAAACAAACTTAAAACATAATTTTGGTTTCTGGTGAATATATTTCTCCAGTCGTTTTTAAACAGTTTTTACTGAAATTAAACTAAATTTTAGTAATTGCTAATCTCCTTCAATCATTGCTAATGCTATTAGATGTTCCGAAGAATTTTAGTTTCCATTTTTCTTTTGCTTTTGCTTTATTTTATTGTTATCATCTAATAAAATTTTTGCATCCCACAATATATAAAACCTGAAAATATTTCTTCATGGATCCTCATATCCATTCTCCACTGAACAATCTTTGTTTAGCATTTTGCATCAAATTACTCTTATTTTTTACTTGAGTTGTTACGAAGTGTGGAAATTTAAAAGCCAAGAATCAACCACATGTTCAGTTGCCGGTTCCGTGTTCCTATAAACGGAAATGTTCAAGATAATACTTACATATATGCCTATATTCTATCAAGAAATTTTATTTAGAATGTAAAATATCACGTTTTCTGTAGTTAAGGAAAAAACACTACATTTTTTTAACAATATTTTATTGTTTTTGATAAAAAATTTTTACAGTCCTACCTTAATTTTTTATAATTTCTAAACTTAATTATCCTCACAAAATTCATGTTACAGAAAATTTAATTAAACTATTCATTCTCTTATGGCTTCATTTGAACATTCTTCTGTTTATGCTTGTTACTTAGAATTATTCTTAGACAAAAAAATCATTTGAAATCAATTGTTAATTTTGGCTTTACTGAATCATTTTCATAATTTTAGTTAAATGCACTCACTTTTTGGATATACTTTTTGAAATATATTGAAGTAATTCTTTAGGAATTCCAGTCTTACAAAGACAATCGGATCAAATATTTAGTACTTGTTTAATTGTTATTGCAGTAAATCTTCACTTAGAATGATTATAACTGAAATTATTTGTGAGCAATCATTTGAATTGATTGAAATAGCTTAATTGGTACTTTAAATAATATTTTTAAAGACTGTATACTTAAATATTTTCATGAAAATTAAAAATGAACTGTATGCTTTTCCTTTGTTTCAACTGATTTGTTTTGTTAATAAAATAGAAATAGATCAAAATAAACTTGCATTTTAAAATAATTGGAGACATTTGAAAACTTAAAGAACTATCCTACTTAGCTAGGGACAAATTATTATGTTTTTTTTTTTCAATGAGAGATAGTCAGTAATTGTTTTGTTATTAGAACTTGATGATAATTTCTGTTAATACTGTTCCTGAAGAGGACTAGAGAATATTGCTTAAAGCTTTTATTTTGTGCAGTTTATAATAATATATTTTCAGTTCAATTTCTTATGCAAAAAATTATTCGCTATTGATTTATTATATTCACTCTTTTACTAAAGTATATCTTGGGTTTATTTATAATAAAATCAAATTAGCAAGGGAGATAAATATTTAAGAGTTTTTCCCCTTGCATTATGAAAAATTCAAATTTTTATTTTCTTTCTCTCAAAATTCTAAGGTAATTTGAATTAATGTATTATAATGTGCAGATAATAAAAAAAATATTTGTTGTATAATTTTTACTCTTAGTAAGTAGATGGTAGTTTTGTATATAATTAAAGAATAGGTGGAATTATTATTTTATTTGTCCACCAATTAAAAAGTAAATTAGTTTCAAGTATTAAATTTTGTTTAATCTTAATTATTTGTATTCTGTAAAAGATGTTTAATAAATATTTTACTGTTAATCATAAAATGTAATTTGGAATTTATCTTATCACATTGAGTTTTTATTTCTCTTTTTAGCCTTAGAAAGTGCACAGGCTGAGATCCAAAGACAGAAAGCTAAATATGATGAAGTGGTGGAAGCAAAGTGAGTATTTTGAGTTTGTTTTTATATGTTGAGTGTAACTTTGGCAATAATTATTTATATCTGATCTTAGCAAGTCTAAAATGATCATGATTAAGTCATTTCATAGCTCTTTGTTATAACAACTAAAGTTTGTCGAGAGCTTCCAAAACTTTATTATACCTTTTTGTTTTGAACAAAAATGGCAAATGCAATGTTTTGTTAGTATTTTCAGCTGTATGCGTGCAAACAAGAATATTTGTTAATTTATTCATAAACTTTTTATTAAAATAGTTTAACTATATATTTGTTTTTTTTTTTAATGTGTTCAAATTAAAATAAATTTGTTTTAATTATCTGCTTGATTTTCTTTTTTAATTCAGAAGTTATTTTCATTACTCATAAGCAATTTTTGTGAATTTTAAATATGTATACCAGATCAGTTTCATGACACTGTCAAAATGAGCAAAATACAAATCACTTTATATTATTATATTGCTCATTTGAACAGTTGTGTGTTTATCTTTGTCTGTATGAATTTATCTTTGTCTTTCTGTTATATTTAGAAAGTTTTCTGGTTTACTGTTATTAAAACATTTTTACCAATTACCTTTGATATCAATTTGTATAAGTTTGGTAAAAAAACATTTGTTATCTAATATATTAATGATTACCTCACATAATTCTTTTGATCCTTATTGGCTTTAAATTAGCTCTTTCAAAAGAATGTGATATTTATTAGGTTTTACTGTATTTTCTGTAAATGGATGTTTATTGTTTTTTTCTTAAAGTTTAAAATGAGCAAAAAGTTAAAAAGGTCAAATACAATCATAATTTAATAGGTTTTATTTCAGAAAACCATAGTCAGATTTGAAAATATGTTTTGATAAGTAATAAATCTGAGGAATGACATTATCCAATAGTTGTTTGGCTTGATGTCACTCCAAATTTTAAAGCTTTTACTCTCATTCCCCCTTTGTTCATTAATCAAATGTCTTGTCAGTTTATGAAACATACTCTTACTCTTTCATTTAATGTAGTTGGTTCTCTTTTGTTAATTTTCTTTTGGTTAATAACAACTAATTTTGAAATAAAATTACTTGTACTAGTATTCAAACTATCTTCCATTTTGTGTCCAATATATTAAATATATAAATATTTAAAACCTCAGTAATGACTTTATTATTCCTTTCTGATGAATCACTAATAAACATTTTAACTCTTCAATCTCTATTTCTGAATTCAAATGTCATTATTCAATTTTTTAAATTATTTTATCTTCAAGTCTTATAGCCTACCTTTTTCTCAGTTTTTGCTGTCATACAAATACATGATAATTGTTGTGAAATAATTCTGCAGAATAAAAGCCTGCTAATTTTATTATGTCCTGTATTTAAGGATCTTCAGTTTATTCTTTCTTGCCAGTTCATAAAGAAAATATTTGTTTAAAAGTTAATTCTATGTTGCAAGTTTAAGCATTTTTTGTACTGTAGTTAAGCAATGTGAGTTTTCCTTTAAGAATTCAAAACTACTTCATAAATGTTCTTCCAAATTCATTTACTTATTTAGCTAACCACAAAGAAGAAATATCTAGCAACTTATTTTGCTGTTCATGTAAATTTACTGAACTATAGTGAATAAAAATCAATCCTGAGTATTTTTCTATTCAGTATTGGTTGATTTGCTCACAAAAGTGAAAGGAAACTTTTTATCATTTCTTTAATTATACTGCCATCATTATTAATTATAAATAAATTTAACTTACTCTTTTATGATTTCTGCATTAGCCATTAAAATAACGGTGAATATTTCTGCTTAAAAACGTTTCCTTTGCAATAAATAAATGCACTTTATCTTTTGTGATGCAAATATGCTGTATCTACTTTTTCTAACCCTCAAATAACACACAGATTCTGTGTCTTATTTACATAATAAGGAGAAAATGTTCTAAAGCAATTTGATACTTAGAATAGTTCCACATGTCTGATTGGACAGAGGGTTTCACTGCTCCTCTCACAGCTGAGTGGCATTCATCATACACTTCACTCACTTGACACTAATTGAAGTACTTCATCATGGATAACATTCTCTTACATAAAATGACAGCAACAGTAGCCACAATGTATTAATGTGCACACACATTCTCTCTGTCTTTTTTCTCATCACTAGATATAGAGATAGGAATATAGAGTACCATGGGTTCTCTTCATTGACTGACAGACATATTTTCTTATGGCCATTGTTTAGCACTCTTCTGTCATAAAGCTAGTAATAAATCTAGGCTTATTTCTACCTCCCTCTATCTTTCTAAATGGATATTAAAATTAAGTTATTTACTGACCTCACCTGCATGTGATAAACTCACTAGAAGTTGTCCAGGCAGTGCCTCTGACTTTTCAAATTCTATTCTCTTTATATATTGAATTTAGGCCATTTTTAATAAGATACATTGTTCAAATATTTTTTGTGATAAATGGTGTTAGAATATAACAGTAGATGGTATGAGTTTTTTTTTTTTCTTGAAGGTTGTGATTTGCTATGGCACTCCTCCATTCTAGTCCACTGGACCTTAATCTCGCAATATTCAATTAAGGATTAAGCAAAGATTTTTTTTTGATTTTTTTTTTTTTTTTTTTTTAAATGTTGATCTAGTTTTGTAATGCATTTGAAATCATATTGCATTACTTTCTTTGTCCTATTAATTTTCATCATTTACATTTTCCTAAACTTATCCTATTGATTGTATTCATGAATTAGCAAAATTTTACAAAAGTTCAGTAAAACCTGAAATATTTAAAAGCAAGGTTGTGTTATATTTATTGACAGATTACCTTTGCTTAAGGATTTCCTTTACAAATTTCAGTCATAAATTCTGAACATTGTTTATTGCCAATATTTCACTTAATCTTATTTTATTTATCCCTCTGCCTTATTTTTTTAAAATATTTCTATCTATGGTGTTCTTTGCAATGAGTTTGTGCATTGTATAGTTGTAGTTTTTTGTAATTTTAATCTACAGAAAATATATGGGATAATTATATATCAATTTATATATATATCAAGGACAGTTTTTAAGAAAGGATGGAAAAAAAATTTCATATGATCATTTTGTCCTTTAGGACTTCATTGGACTGAGTTTGTGTGATTATGCATGAATGAGATCAGCACCTCTCATTCATGCTAATTTGAAATTATTTTCCCTTTTTTTTTCTTTCCATATATGCTTTGTGTATATAATCTAGCTGATTTAATTTAGATTCTTTTTCTTTTTATCACTTTTGTTATTGGATATACTACACTGTGATAACAGAAGATGTGCCATGAATAATGAACCTTTCCCAATCAATAGCTAAAATAATGAAAAATCTGCCATCTTATCACTAATGAATGCTATTTCATATTTAATAATAATTTTTATAAACAAAAATTTGGATTACCAATGGTAATTCTTAGTGGAATGATGGCATGTATTTTCTTAGAATTTCTCAAGTCTTGTCTCTTTTATTTTTTACCCAAACAATCAACATACTTCTGATATGTTGATAATTCTCTATTTATATATCCTCATGATATTGACTTACCTGTCCTTATAGATAAATTAAAAAAGTTGGACATATATAGAATTTACATACAAATTGGAAGAAAGCAGTAATTTATCTTTCCTAGATATCATGCTACAAAGCATTAACAGTAGCTTAAAACTTAGTGTCCACCAAAAATCAACAAATAAAAACCATCTAATAGAATTCTAATCCCATCATAACAAAATAAAATATCTGGAATGATCGTCGGATTCTATTGAGAACACTCAAAGTTTGTGGCCCTTGATATTTGAACGAAGAGGAGAAATACATTGAAAAAACTTTCAAGCTTCTTCAATACCCTGATCATTTTATATTCAATGCAAAACAAAAAGCTCATAAATACTCCAAAATAGAAAAACAGCCCCTCCTGACAGACCAAATGAATCAAAAAAATTATATTATCCTACCAACTAACTATATCACAACTACACTTGAAAAGAATTTATCTAAATTCAACATAAAATGTGTGACAACTACATTTAAAACAATAAAAGAATTAATCAATACAAAACAAAACAATAAGCTAAAACCTGAAGGAGGAATTTACTCGATCACCTGTAATAATTGTCACCAAAAATAGGAGACGCCTCCAAGAATTTAAATAAAAGTTTTTATGAGCACAAAAGAGACATTTTACATAACAACACACTAAATGCATTGGTTACTCACTATAACAAGACTAACCACAATTTTGATATAAAGAATGATACCCTGATTAAAAGAGAAACAATTCACTATGATGAAAATGTTTAGAGAGTGCTCTGATCACTAGATCATCCACAGTAAATTTGCACACAGGCTCTTACAACATTTCACCATTCCTGGCACATCATCTGTTATCATAGTGTAGGATATCCAATGACCAAAGAGAGATGGAAACAAAAAGAAAAACATAATTTAAATGAAATTGGCTAGATTTATGGAACACATATATGGTAGAAGAAAAAGAAAACAAAAAATAATTTCAAATTAGAATTCTCAGCACCTCTCATTCATGCGCATGTGCAGTCGCATTAATAAACTCAGTGTGATAACGTCCTAAAGGACAAAACACGTCACACGGAAACTTTTTCCATTCTGTCACACACACACACACTAACATTTTTCACTTGTAAATTATAGACTCTTGTGTATTTTTTTTCTTTTTATACATAATCTCTTAATCTTATTCTTAGGTATCATTTTTCCTCAAAAGTACTTGAGAAATTGGATATAATTGTTAAAATGTCACTCAGTTCTAGCTATGATATTTTTGCTGATAGTGAAAGAATGTGGTTTTCATTTTGGTTCTTTGCCTTTATGATGATTGAATGGATAACTGAAGACTTTCAGTATGCATTATTGCAAAGCAAATTGTAACTGTAAAATGATGGGGATTTTATTTGCATTTGTCACAAGTGGGAAATACTTGTATTCTTTCATTGTTTCTTATGAGTTCCATTTTATCTTGCTAATTTAATCATTAATTTTTTTTTCCTGAGAAAATTGTAACACTATATATACCTATCTCAACTTATAACAGTAATATTTTCTCTTTCAATAAAATTTAACCTAAGAATTTTCTATCTAATATATATATATATATATATTCAAACATGTATTGTTAAATATAACTGACAACAAATGTCTACTATGTTTGATCATGAGCAATTCTAAGCTTCATATAGTGGCTTTAGTTTTCTATCCAACATTTGGATATTTTTTTTTTATTATGCTTTTCCTCAATCTAAACTTTCGGCTCACATGAGCCATCATCAGGTTGGTTATATGGACATTACAACAGAGATGTTCAGCATCAAAGACACTACACACACTATACAAAGTTTAGAACGGCTCATGATCAAACATAATAGACATTTGTTATCTGTTATATTTAACAATATATGTTTGAATAATGATCTGCTGCCCCAATACACACACACACATATATATATTTAACATGCGTAATTTTGAAAAAAGGGAAATTTGTAAAATCCTCATTATTTTAGACATAAGTTAGATTCATGAATAATGGATCTGTAGAAGAATGGTTATATGATGTAATGTTTTAAATGAGTATTTATAGTTGGTTGTAATGCTATGAATATATTTTCAAAATATTTTCTCCTTACTATCAACTATAAACACTCATTTAAAACATTACATCATATCACCATTTTTCTACAGATCCATTATTTATGAATCTAACTTGTGTCTGAAACAATGAGGATTTTATAAATTTCCTTTTTTCAAAATTACACAGGTTAAATCTAACCAAAACTAGATTATTCATATATATATATATATATATATATATATAATACTTGCTTTGTAATGGACCAAATGCTATGCTTTTCATTCATATGTAAGAATGTACACCAGGGCTACAAAATATATTCACATAAAACTTACTGCTGTCTTCCAGGTATCATAATTTGAAGATATCCTGTGAGCATCAAGATATAAGCTTTAAAAAAAGTTTTGCAGATGTTATTCTGTGTATATATTGTAGTTTTTCTTACTAATAAACTTGTTTATCAGCTTTGAAAAAGTTGATTTATTGGATTCTTCTTTTCATATAAACCATGAAAATGCATCATTTTACATAACAGCTCATATATTTCTTTTTTATTCTCATCCATTGAAGTGGGCATTCACCAACCAAAATGAAATATTTTCTTCATTCACATAATCTTTCACAAAAGCTTCATTTATTTTTATTGGAAAGGTTTGACAAATGCTGTATCTAAAGTTATTTTTTAAGAAATGTTGCTGCTACAATAATAGATACTCCTTTTGTGTTTTTAGTTGCAAAGAACAAGTAAAAATAGCAATATTATTATAATACTAATTTTCAAAATAATTTCATAATAATTAAATTTAAAATATGTTTTTTAGTTTTGTCTTCTGTTTAAAAAAATCATTCAGTCCACATGCACTTGAGTGGAATATGACACAAGACCATGTTTAATTAGGAATCCTGCACACATGTACATGGTATAAGTAACAATTAGAATATTACCTTGTCTGAGTAATAAACTTGTTTCTAAACTTTTAATGTAAGGAAACCTCATTTATTTACTTCATAAATATCCTCTTTCTCTTCTGAAGTTGTGATATAATTAATATACAATGATGATGGCTCAGGGGACTAGGGATTATTATCAAATCTTTTCCCAATTATGTCTCTTCTGTTAGATCGAAATGTTTTCCCTGTTTAGTTGTTTCTTGCAACCTAAACATTTCTGTGTTTGTCTGTCTTGTTCATTCTTGCATTTGAGTTGAAATAAATCTACATTTGGTATTTGCTTGTGTTGGTCTCCTCCCAGGCCAGCAGTTTGCATGCTTGTAATTCAAACCAGAATAAAAGTTGATAATTTTATTTATTTGGCTGTAAACCTTCTTCCCTTGGGATGTGCAAATCTGTAACACTTTATTTTTGTTAGATTGCAAATGAAACTTCAGAGCCTCTGATTCATGGTTTAATGTTTTTTTTTAATCTTTCCCACTGGAACTGAATTGATTTCCTCATCATATTGTTTCATTTCTACTCCAATGTGGCTGCAGTAGCAGCAGCAGGAGAGCTCGTCTTTTTGCAGGATATACATCTTCCACATACCAAATACTACTTGAATTTGATTTGAAAAAGTGTTTTTTTTTTTTTATCACAAATGAAAAACATATGCAGTTTTTTGGTTGGCCTGTATATTCCACTCATGCATTCAGTTTCTACTTGATGTATAGATTCAGTTTCAACAGAATTTTTTTTTTTTTTATTAATAAAATAAATCTCACATGGCTCAAGATAAACTTGTCAATTAAAAACTTCTAAATATCTTATGGATTTTACTCACAAGTAATATTAAAAATTTAGTGTTGACACAAAGTTTAAGAAATCAGAAGTACTTTTTCTGTATAATTTTGACAGTGACTCTCAGACTACCAAAACTTGTACTATGAGCAAAATGAATCCACTTTATTGATTAGTATTTTTAAGAATACTAATCTATAAAGTGGATTCATTATTAATTATTTAAACTATTACTTTTTTAATCATCTGAGAAATTCTTGATTTATTGAATTAATGTTTTTTCATGATTATTTTCATTTTTCTAATACCTTTTTTTTATATTTCCCTTTATAATTCCCTCAATTTATGCATTCATTCTACTTTGTTCTCACACCATCTCTGTTACTTCAAATGTTCATTTTGTAAAAATTGAGGTTTTAATTAATCTTAATTAAATATTGTTTATTTTGTTATTCTACCACTACTTTTAATCTTCATTAAATCTTTTAGGATGTCACAAAATTAAAAATGTGACACCCTCTCCTTCTTTTCCTTTACAAATACTTCAGACAAAAGAAAAATATTGGCTATCTTACAATATTACTTCTATCTATTTGTGTCAATTTTTTCCCCTTAGTCACTTACTTGTTAACATTACTTGAAATCATTTCTTCTATGGTGTCTATTGACTGCAACCAACCAATTATGTTGCTAATGCATTTGTTCACTATTGTCTCCCAGTTTAACCAAAAGTCACCAAGCACTTCATTTTGGAGATACTTGAGTCTCCTTAACTGTTCAATCGCTAACTCTTCAAATCTGGATTGTAGGTCATCTCGATCAGATGCTATAAAGGAGACATCATCAGAAAATTTAAGGTGATTATTAATATTAAATCTTTATTTTAAGCCCTTTGTGCCTTAAGCCAACTTTTTTAAAAGGTTGGATTGGTTAAAACAATAGAAGTAGCTTGTCCCTCTGTGATGAAACTTATTGGCAAAGGGATTATTGTCGTACATACTCAACTTTCATTTTTCTTGTGATTTATTCTCTATATTGTTTCTTTCACCCTCTCCCCAGGAAAAAAAGTTTATAAACATTTATGATTAAATAGAAATCTAACTGTTAATAGATAAAAATTGCTAATGATCTGTATTTATATTAATTCAATGTCCTAATTTAAGTTACTTGATATTATAATATGACCTAATCCTTAATAGGTAAAGTTTAGAACTGTCAAATTCTTAATTACAAATTGTATGAGACTTGATTTCATGCTATTATTATGAATATTATTTTTTAAGCATACATAATTTATAATCATTTCATGATATCATGTTTTCATGTGCTTCTAAAATGGATAAACACAGCAATAAAGTTGATACTTTATTAGTGTTTGTGAAGATATTTTTAATAGTTACAGTAGTGCATAAATAAAAGCAACTGAGTAAAAACGTCCCATTCAGTATTATAAAAACATTTTGATCAAAATTTTCTAAAAGAAATAACCTAGTAGTCATCTTCTTTCAAAATTTACATTTGAACTGTGTCTTTTTTATTTATTTTTTTTTTTCTCCCTTCCTCCCTACCAAAAGAATTTTTCAAAGTATCTGTTATCATTGGTATCTTTCCTCTCTTCTATATTGACTTTTCTATTAAGTAAATATTTCAATGCTTTTGTTGTTTTTTTCCCAGATCTGATGACATGGAAATGGTAATTAAAGACTTAGAGCGTGCTAATGAGGTTGGTGCTCTTATTGTATAAATTCAAATTATTCACTCTTTCTTTGAAAACAAATGAAATTTCTTTCAAGTCAGACATCTCTATCATGATTTTGAGGTTCTTTATCAATAGATTCATAAGACTTGATGATAAATGCTCATTTAGAAAAATGGACATTAATTAATTGTTCCAAATTTCCTTTTTCTTAAGTCTTTTATTTATAAAGTCAGTAATAATCAAGTAGTATAGAGTTGTTGCACTTTTAACAATAACAGTTGGATAGCTAGGTTTCATTAACCAAATTTTAGCTAATTTCTAACAAAAGATAAATCTTTCCTACAGTGCTCAAGAAATAAGTTAAGAACTTTAACTGGTACAAGCAGTGGGCATTGCAACTCCATATTATCAACTCATGATTGGACAATTACCAATAAAAAAAAATATGACCAAGTATCTCACTAAATAAGCTGATGGCCAGAAGCCAAAACAAATTAAATGGTCAACAATATTTCCAAATCTTTTTGCTTTTTCTTTTTTTTTTTTTTAAATTATCCAATTTAACAAATGGTATGATTTCTTTGCAAGTCGTGCATTTTATGAATGCCATTAAAGTCAGCACCCCACTGCAAAGTGAATATATTATTGAAATCTTAGCTGAGAACAACACCAGTCAATTCTGAATAAAGAACTCTTCAGAATCGATGCTCTTTGCAATCAAAATTTGCTTTGGCTCTTCAAATTCGTGCTTTCAAGTTGTTAATATGATAACATTTCATTAAAAAGAGAAAGAAATTTAGGGATTGAATGGTTAAATTCTAAAATTCACAATTGATCTTTGGTAACTCTTTGAAACAAATCTTATTTGCCGAGAAACTATTTTTTTATGTATTGTTGTTATTTATTGTATGCATTATTTTTATATAATTTCATATATATTTATTACAGCTTCATGATTGTTTGAACTTATATAGTTTTTTTTGACATTGTCAGCATAATTCAAAATTTGCTGTTATGATATAACAAGCACAATTAATTTATGAGACAATTTTCTGTTTAATCAATGACTCCCCTCATGTTTTACAAGATCAGAATTAAGATATTAATTTGATATTCATGGGAAAATTAGGTTTTATTTATTCATATATTTTCTTTCTTTACAAATTAAACTTTTGAAATCACTGATGACTATTCTCTTTTTTTTTTTTTTTTTTTTTTTTTTTTCTATCTGCAGAGAGCCGAAGCATCTGAACGTGAGGTAGAGCAGCTACGTCAGCAGCTAGCATCAGCTACTCAAAACCTCCACCAGGTAGAACAAATGGAGAAGGCAACTGACATGGAACAAGCACTGGACATTCTCAAGCGGTCCCGGCTTGAGGTTGAGTTAGCTGCTAAAGACAAAGAGGTTTGAGTGAACATTATTTTTCCTATTTTTAACAAATATGATTGATGATGGCTTTAGAAACATTTTAAGGTTTTATCAATAAACAACTGTTGAAATTCATCCCTTAAGACACTGATTAAAAGTCATTGATTAATTGGTAATAAACATGAGGTTTACTATTTTATACAATTTGTAGTCAATTTTTATTGAAAATATACACTCTAATTAGAATCTTTGAGTTTCTCAGATGGAGCTTTGTCATTATTATTAATTTTATTTCATCTTATTTCTGTTGCTTTTTATCACTAGTCTGTGCTGCTTAACAGTTGTATCATAGATGTTGGATGTTTCAATAAAAATAAGCAGAAAGTCTATATTATAATATTTATTTCTAATTTTTGTATTGTTTATTTTGATCATTAAAATTATTTTCTGTTTTACCATCAGATTACGCAATTGATTGAAGATATACAAAGATTACAAGCTTCCTATGACAGTTTACAAGAGTCCACATCAGCTAGAGTAAGCAAAACACACTTTTTGTACAATTTTTATTGTGTACAGAAGATATATCTCTTAAATTATTCCAAATGGATAAATAGAGAATATGTAAATAAAATAACTGAACTTAATTTTCCTTTGAAAAATACTTTTTTAAGTTATTAATCAGATTTACTTGCTTAATTTCTGTAGGTTTTCTCCCAGTCTTGTCGGCAGTATTTTCTAAAATAAAGGTATTCTTACTTGCAGATCTCCAGATTAGAAGAGAATATTAATAGAAAAGATAAAGCCTTCCGCCTCTTGGAGGAAATGTTCAGATCGCAAAAGGAATTTGAGGATATTAAGTGTGAATTGAGGTAAAAAAAATTTTTTTTTTTTTTTTTGCTGCTGTTTTCAGTAATAACATGTTTCTTTTGACCTGTGACACAGTTTTGCAACTTGCAGGGCACTTTGCCTTCTGCCCATTTCCAGGACGCAGTCTATTCATTTTGCTGCTGATCAAATTCCGCCCCAAAATAAGGTTTTTTAATCGAGAGTACTGGCACTGTTGCACACACAGAAACTGACTTTTGAGTGAATTGAACCTCTCCTGACTTAGAAATAGACATTCCACCAAGAACCTTGATCGTGCTTATTCCAATTAGGAGATCAAATCTAAGGAGGTCCCCTAAAACTACCAGGGCATCTATCACCACATCCCTTCTATTTCCCACACAAAAGCTGACAGGCCTAGCCCCGCATGTCTGTGTTCTGTCGCTGATTGTTATGATATCGACGCTTTGTTTCTCCCATGTTCAGCACACCTTGCTTATTATGTTCTGGAATCCACTAGCGCGATGCACTTCCTTCCACACACATTAATTTCTATTGTTGGCAGCACCAAATTTATATTTTGACTGAGTAGCTCTTTTCCTCGGACAATCTTGGGATACATGGCCTATTTTATCGCAGTTATAACAACTAATACAAGGCTTTCTACCTCCTCTGAGCAGGCTTTTACAATCTTTGGCAAAGTGATTAAGGCCATTGCATGATGGCAAATCATGTCATTAGAACCCCTAGGAAGAAGTTGCATAGTCCTTTGGTGTATCTCTCATGCTGCTGCTACTGCCAAGTCTTCATTTGTGTTCTCATCTTTCATTATTGCTTGATCGCGAGCAAGCATCAGCTCGATGGTCATTACCTCCATTTGAGAAAATGCATGAAGGAGCCGTTTCACATGATTTGACAAAACCTTGACAAAAGCACACACCAAGGTATCTGATACCCCTGAATAATACAGCTAGTTTGCATAGTCCTGCGAAGTACACATCAACGGACTCCTGTGATCAAAGTCACCTCTCATAGAATTGTTTATACACAACAAACCCATCTGTCACAAACACTGTGTAGAGGGCCAATTTTATGTGTCCAACATCTGCTTTTTCCTCTTTACATAATCACTAATAGACAGCACCAGACCACCAGACAGGCTTAGAAGAATCACATGTTCTGTGCATTTCGCTTTGTACATCCAGTTAACAAGTTTCGCCTTTTCTATCCATTCAACCATGTTTGTCCCGGACACTGAGCTGTCAAACTCTGATGGATATCAAACTTTCACTCTGACATAGTTTGCAATATCGACAAAATAGCTTGTAAGTATATGTGGCTGAGTTATCAAAATTTGCTCCTGTTGCACCAGCAGCATCCCTTCAAGTCACTTCCAGATGTTGACAAAAGCTGGCTTTTTATGTCATTTAGTGAGGTCACTACACAGATTTTCACTTACATGAGACATTACCCAGTCCACACAGATTGAGTCTCCTGTGTACAACACAGGTGATCTTATGTCATTTATACCAGGGGGAAAGGCTGTATCCACTCCAGCAATGCTCACAATGATGTGCTGTAAACCAGGAATGCATTTCAGAGTTTTTAAAATTTTTAGTTTTTTTCATTAAATCAAAATACATTGCTTCAGTTCTTTTATCAAGTTTTTTTAGTCAGTCTCTTCCATAACAATTTTATATGATGGTGTCAGAACAAAAAATTCAATCATTTTGAAAAGTAAAACTAGTAAAACTAAGCTTCTTGATTAATAGTTTATTTCATATTTCTCTAAACCATGAGTGTATAACACTTTTTATTTTTCAGCTCTATGAAATCCACAGAATTTGCCAATGTGTCTGATGACGACTGTCCACTGGAAACTTCCAATTCCCTAGAACTGCTTCTGTTGGAGAAAGCAAAAAATCAAGAGCAACAACAGCCAGCACAGCCACAGCAGACTTCAGAGGCTCAGCCTTTGAATCTAACAGAGTCAGACTCTACTGGTATGTATTGTCAATGATAGACATTTGACAAGTGATGCCATCACTTCTCTCATTACAGGTTTGTTTTTGTTATTTAGGTATGTATTTTCATTGGATAACAAAAATTTTGTCACTGTTGACTTTTTGTTTTGAATTATTTGAACATTTTTCAATTACTTACAAATGTTATTTGATGCAATACAATGTATATCTTGAATGGAAAAGCTCTCTGTGAATGTTTAAATTAGTGACTAAAAACAATATAAGTTGCTATTCTGGTTAAACATTGCTATCTGGTGAGATCCAACTCTGTTCAAATGTTTTAAATAAGTAATTTATGTGAAATCCTGTTGGAGATAAATTTCAAATTGAACCATTTGCTTCTACTTTGATGTTCTCCAAATTTCCTCCACTTTTGGTCATGTTGATAAGAACTGAACACATTCTTTGCTTTTGAGTTTATAGAAAAAAAAATTGTTTAAACATCTTATATTTATTTCTAATTTAAACCAACTGAACTAATTTATTGCTTCTTATTTAAATTATACTAATTTTATTATTTTGATATTAAAGGAAATTTCAAATTAACCACTTATAAGTTAAATCTGATCTATTCAAAATTTTTCATTTCAACTCAATATTAACCAAGTTAGGAGTCTTTACCCAGGCCATAATAACCTGTTTGTAGATTTGTGTGTGCAATATCAAAATAGTTGAGAGAAATGTCATCTTTTATAATTTATTATGAAAAAATAAAATAGACTTAATCACTGTCAGAGACATTTTATTGGAGATTTCAAGGATAAAAACTGAAGAATTGCTGGAATATTTGGGTGGGTATATTTGATCTTGTAATAATCAACATTTTTGATTATATGAAAACACCTCAAATGATTATCAATAAATTATCAAATTTTACTACCTAAATGAAAAAAAAACAGTCTTCTTGCAATGTTTCTTTGCAAATGCAATGTCTGAAAGTCTGCAATTTATTGTTTTCTATATTTTTAGCAGATATAGTATGGTTGTAATTGTAATTTTTAATTTTAAATATGATTTAACTATTGTCATTTAGTACTATTCTGTACACGTATACCTATTTATATATCTATAACTTTAATGACTTGCAGCCTTAATTATAATTGTATGACATTAACCATGATACTGCATTTGGAATATATAGTATTTACTACCACTGTGAAATGTATTTGGTTAGGTTGAAATATAAAAATATAAAGTTGACTGTATGTCTAAATAAATAGTTAAGTAATTCTGAAATATGAAGCATGTTTTCTTAGAAGGCAAATTGTAAATTTTTGCTTTGTTTTTCTAATAGAATTGCAATATTGTATATATTTTGTTACTTTTCTCTTTTTCAGCTAGTAATACCAATTCTACTCCTCTCACTACAACTACTGAAGCATTTGCAACGATGCTAGGAGAAGAACTGGTGACATCATACCAGCAGCACAATCAGTCTGGCTCAAGTACAGCCAGCACACCAACCAGCAATGGACTACCTCCATCTTCTGATAATCACCCACCTCCCCCTTCCCCACATAATCATAGCAGCAGCAGCAGCATCAACAATAATAATAATAGTAACAGTACAACCAATCATGTGCCATTTTCTCCTAGCAGTACAAACTGTCAAATGCCGCCCCCTCCAACATCGCAGTTTTTAAGTTACGGTAATGGACACTCTCCTGCTACACACCACTACATGCCACCGTCAGTTGTGGTGAAGCAGGAACCAAATTCAGGCACCACTACACCGTCTAATGGGAAGAATCAGTCCCTGGATACGGCTCTCGTGGCTAAGATGGTTCGAGAGCTGCTCAGCGTGCACAATATTGGTCAGAGACTTTTTGCCAAACACATACTTGGATTATCTCAGGGAACGGTCAGTGAGCTCCTGTCCAAACCAAAGTCTTGGGATAAATTAACCGAGAAGGGACGTGAATCCTACCGCAAAATGCACGCTTGGGCTGTCGATGAATCTAACATCTTAGCCTTGAAAGCCATTTCTCCAAAGAAAAGTAAGTATTTGTTCATTCATTGTTATTTTTATTGTATTCATAATTAACAGATGATTTTTTTAACACAATGAATTTAATATATCTTGTTTTATTTTTAAATAATAAAATTTTAAAGAGAATTTTGTTTTTATGATGTAGTTTGGTTGATAATGGAAAGCAAAAACTCTATAAAATGAAGATATAATTTTGTGATTAGCATTCTTCATTTAATTTGTTTCCACTTCTTTTAAGTGGTAACAAATTACACCACTGAATTATGAAGAATATATAAAATAGTTGTTAGTAAACAGAAACCTAAAAATTCTATACTTGTCACCATTAGTTTCTCATTATATTGTCATTATTTGGTTTTATTTGAAGTTAGCATTTACTTTTCATTTAAACCTTTTAAGTCAAAGCAGATAAATGCTTATTCCTTGATGATTATTTGTATCAAATCACCTTTGATATTTAGTAAACCTTGCTGAAGCTCTTGTTTTAAAGACTTTACAGTTATATTTATGCATCATAATGTACATATTTCAATAAGTCAAGTTTAACACACCTCCTTGAAACAATTGTCTTTTTATTTGTGATATTAAATTCAAGTTTGCCTCTGAGAGGTTACTAGTTATGGGGAATAATTCCTTGGATTGAACTTTTACACTTAGTGCTACAAAAGAGCAGAATAATAGTTATTCAGTCCAGTAAACATGTGACTAAACTCAGTAACTTATTTAAATACAAATTTGTTACTTTAAGGTTTTTAATTCTTTTATTAACAGTAACAAGCATGCAAAATTTGTACAGTTTTATTTTGCATAGATTCATATCTGGTATGAAAGATTGTGTGAGCATTGATAAAAATACAGGCTTAAAACTTATCACAGGGCCAAACTTTTAATATAAAATATTAATGCAAATATGAAATTTGTCATTTAGCTGATTGAAGGAACCAACACTGCATGGTGACTGTCAATTTCATGCCTTAATGCTATGTTTAAACCTTGGTCCACACACTCTATAAAAGCTATTTCCAATATTGAGTTTCTTCTCCTAAGCTATAGCAAATTATAAACATGTATAATTAATACAAATATAAAGTTTGTCACTTAGCTGTTTGGTATTACTCTAAGCATCCCAACTCCATAGAGTTTCATAGATGGACCCTCCAGTAATCACTCTGTATATGGAGACAAAACATACCATACCCACACGTCTCTATCTCAATTTAACTTTTGGAAATCATATACCTGTGAAACCAGTAAAGTTACTTTAAATAAATATTCTTGAAGACATCAGTTGCATTTTCAACTTCTTTATCTCTCTCTCTCTCTCTATATATATATATATATATATATATATATATATATATATATATATAGGCACCAATTTTTCATTAATGCTATTTTGTAGTAATATGGACATTTGCTTTTGTAGTTAAGTGTACATGAATTTATGCTGGTAGGTTTTTTGTATGGCAAAATAGTAAATTTGTTATTTATTTTTATCAAAAAACCAACATAGTTTACAAATTCAAGTGCCCTTTGGGAGATTGTATCTCCAATGGATTAAATATTTATATTGGTCACACCACAAACTCGCTTTCACGACGCTTGACTCTACATTTGAATGATAACTCTAACATTTTTAGGCATTTAAAACAACATGCCTGGTACAGCGTACACAATTCCGGAAAATCCTTGTTGAAAACACAACTATACTCAAGCATGAAAACAATAAACAAAAACTAAAAATTCTTGAAGATATATACATAAAACAGTTGAAACATAACCTGAACAAAATAAACTATGAAATCTCCACAAATATTCTTAAATGCCTATAATTGATAACAGAACCCATTGGTTTATACCAACGGCTTCCCATACTTAATACTTGTCGTTTTCACTCTCGCGTGGTCATGTGTGACGTCATGCGCTGCAACACGATTTTCGCTTCTGTGTCTCGTATACACGAGTTTGTCGTTGCTTTGAAATTTTTCATGCAACAAAAACAGACTATCATTATTGTTTTGTCTGTGCATTGTTTGATATATTGAAATGTAATTGTCATCTTTGATAATGGCTTATGTAAGCCGAAAGCTTAGATTAGATTTAAACATGTATCAATATGGTGGTTTCCTTTTGTCTTTCAATGATAATGTTATTAAGCTTATCAGACAATATGAAAGGAATTTACTTAAATAGACAAAACTTGTCTATATTATTTAATGAAACATGCATTATATATATATATATATATATATATATATATATATATTTAGAGAGAGAGATCATATGGACTAAAAGTCTTCTTTGAAATAATCCCTACCAATTACAATTTGTTATTTATATATATATATATATATATATATATATATAAAACCTCTATAAAGACAATTTCATGTAGCTTTTTTGTTTAGTAGAAAGCTTACGTTTTTTAGATAAAAGTTATCTTTAAAAATTTTTGCAAATGTAGTGTAGTCACCTTATTTCCATCTTTTTTAGTGTTTACTAAATTCTGTTGCCTTTATTATGATCACAATTTACATTTTTACACACATTTCTTAGATGTTTGAATGTTTATTTTATATTTTAAATAATTCATTGAAGTGAGAAAAAACAGATACTATTTATCTGTTTATCTATATTATCTTTATAAATGCAGAGAGAAATATACTCAGAGGATAATTACATTCTGTAATTATTTTCTTTGGATACAAAACTGATAAAATATTGGCTGCTTAATTTCAGTTGTAAAAATAAGGTAGTTATTAAAACAAACTCTCTCTCTCTCTCTCTCTTGCTAGAAACAAGTTTTACACAGATTTACAATAAAATAAAAATGCATTTATGTTTTCTTTTTTAATTGATTTCAATATTTTTAATTAGAACATTGTAAGACTTGAATTTGTGAAGTAACAGTTACTAAACTTAAAGATCACTTTTAGGCATTTATTTTGCTTCACTCAAATGTAACACAAGACCACATTTTCCAGCAAAGCATACATCATTGGTCTTACAAGGTTACATGTATCAAGCATAAAATTAGTTTTTGAGACTTTTTTGTATTTAGTAGAACTATTTACACTATTTACAATGTTTGGCCAGTTATTCTCATCTTTTTGCCATATTCACAATGTTTCAGCAGTTGTACACTCCAGCCTCCTTCAGGTGATTGGAATTTTGAACCAAACCTCTTATTTCATCCACTAGGATAGATTAAACTAGTTCCACGTGCCATGCCTCTTCCGGATAGCTCAGTATAAATTGTTTCCCTTTAACTCAACTCTCCAAGTTTATGTTCACCTCTGCTGTAGCCAGGTATTGAACACACAATTTTTGGGGTCAAGTCACTGGATTACTAACACTTTTATCCACTGTGTCGTGAATATGGCAACAAAGAGGAGGATAACAGTCCAAACATTGTAAATAGTGTAAATAATTACAATACCTCATCTCAGAAATATAGACAAATAGTAATAGAAAATTTTTACTTCTTCCTAATAATTTACTATAATTTTCTTACCAGTTGTAAAAAAATAATACAAATTTATTTTCAACTAAATATCACTATATTGTTGAGATTTATAATAACTGATGCTGTTAATTTTCTGAAAGCTTTTCATTTATTTTATTTTAAATATTTAACTTTCTTCTAAATTATTCATAAACCTAACCATTGCTCTGCACATTTCATACTGTAGTTGATATATCAGTAAATACAAATTTATTTCATTTACCAATAAAACTTTATTAATATCTGAAATCCCAAAAGTTTTAAAAATGCAATACAATAATTAGAAATGAATGTAAATAATTCTTCTTAAGTACAAATCAAAAATATAAAACTTTCTCGTGAAGTAATGTAAGGGAGGTAACAAATCATCTTATGTAATCTTGATGTACAGGTCTTCTGTTAGAATGTCTTGTACATTAAGTTTTTCTTAATCAAAGCTAAACCATAAATCAAACTTGTCATTATTATGTTATATCTTATGTAAAATGTTATTTCATCAAAAGTATCTGGGGTAACTATTCTTTTTCCTACTAGAAAATACAATTTCATTTGAAGAGGAGACTGATTGAATTTAATGTTCTTAGAAAAATTTACAACACCTATAGCTATGTTCTTTAAAATGTGAAGCCTTATTCTTTTAAAATCTTGCTTTGCTCAAAGAATGACATTAAAAAGACTATCTGCCAATGAATTAAAGAATCAATTTCTTGACTTAGATGTCACTCTTAATTCAAGTAAAAAAAAAATAACAATCTTATATACTTTATGTAAGTTTTTTCTTTCATGTTTAGTCTGGAAGTTGGGCACAAGTTCTATTAGCAACATTCTGTGTTCCAACACTTGTTTGTGACTTATCTCTGATATTTGTATTAAAACCTTGATTACAACTTTTCTCTTATATATTCCCACCTTTAAATTTGATGATCATTACTGATATCATCTGGAACAATCATATTTATTAAACTAAAGGCAAACCATAAACTCCAATTTGTTGTTCTTACAGCTTCTTCTTTTCTTCTTTCTCTTTCTTTTTTTCTTTTTTTTTTTTTTTTTTTTTTTTTTTTTTAAAGAAAGTTGAGTTGGATTTACATTACTTCAACTGATAGTTTGGTTTGAGACATTTTTAACACTAAAACATTAAATATTTATTCACTGATTTTTATTAAAACTTTTACCTATGTAATCTGTGTAACAAATCATATTTGTACAAGGTGTCAGTCAGTCATAGTGGTCAGCTCTTTTATTTATTGATTTAACTTCCCTCCTTATGCACATATATTCTTTGGCTCTGACTTCATCTGTTACCCATAAACAAAGGAGCAGAGGCCTGGTGTGGACAGGGAAAATTTCTTGTTTCATTGATTTCTTTATCTTACCCATCAGCACCTCCCAATGATCATCTCAGTACATTTTAGAAAATCTTTTAAACATTTCAGCGATTAAAAAGCAGCCATCAGATGGGGTCTTAAAAGAACCTTATACAAAACCAGGTAGGATTTGTTATTTGATGTCCAATTTGTTTGTAAATGATTTTTCAAAATTCTCTAACCCTATCTATTAATACATTATTATTGCTACTATCATATATATATATATATATATATATATATATGCACACCATTACCTTCATACATTACATTCAGAGATATGTAGGTTTTTAAAAATACACATTATTCTACACATTCGAACTAGAACACTTCATAATTTTTTTTCTGCACTGTAAAATTTCTTTTCAGAAATGTAGGAAATTGTTCTTTCAGTTGATTTATATTTGAAATAAGTATTTTATTTTCTTAAAATAAAGGGGATAATACACTAGAGGAATTCTATATTAATGCTTAGTTACTGTTTCACATTTTTTTAATGTATTATTCTCATAATGCAGAATGTCTCATCATTAAAGTTTATTACTGTTTCCTACTTTAAAAATAATTGATTTTATAGAAAAATATATAAATTCTAGTTTGTATTGAAATTTTCTTATAATTAAAGCCTATTTTTGTATAAACAGTGATAGTATAGCAGGAATCCCTTAGCAGTATATAAATTTTCATTTCACTATTTATCTTTTACTTTCCTTTTAAAATCTTTCTCCAGTTTACTCTTGGCTAAATTTAGCATGACACTGCAATGGAAATGGTTCTTCTTCACTGTTCTCTGTATATCACCAATAGCTTTTCCTCGTTTGACTTTTTTTGCATGACTTTTGCCTGTGTATATGTCATTTGTTAGGGATCAGCATGATTTCTTTTGTAGTGAACCATAATTTCCAATTTGCATTTCTTTCTCATACTCTCATCCTCTATTTTTTTCTATATGTGTGTTTTTTATTTCTTGTTTTAATTTTTCCCAGTTCTCAGAGGCCCAATTTAGATTCCCACATTAATATAAGCTTTGCACTATTTTAAATAAATAAACTTTATTGATGTAGATTACAACACCAAGACACTGACCAGTGTATTATTTATCAGGAGGTTACATTATTCTACAACTTGTTCTTTTCTTTCTCTCTAAATCTTATCAGTTGATAGTTTTCTAGAATAAATCATTAAGTATCCCTTTTAGTTGATTTTTTTTTTCTAGACTTAAAAGTAAGGCAGACTGTTGATTATATTTTTCAGGCTATTATTTTTTACTTATATTGTTTTTAACAGTATTTTGCTGAACTTCAGTTATATGCTGCAACCAAGTTTTAAAAATCACTTTTTCTTTCATCTTAACTAGAACATAGTCCAACAGGACCACAGGACAGAGTGTTATGGCCTCATGTTAGTAACTAAGCTCTTTAACAAAAGAGCTTAAGAAAAAAAATATCAAGGAATCTTCCTTTTTATTGGCTTTGTGAGAAATGTTAGGCATAGTATCACAACCATTTTAAAAAATTCAGTTATGATGATGCTATGAATTCATTAATGCTCCTACAAGCCTACTTGTTTTCATGTTAACACTGCTGTAACACTGATATTTACTATCAAGAAACTTAAACGCTCAATACTGGGACTGTTGGACTGAGGTTTTCTAAATGAAGACATGATTTTAAAAGGATGTAGCAATTGCTAAGTCTGCATGTAACATATTGATTGAAATATCATGTTCTCACAAAAAAGATGAAGACAGTAGTCACAAAATATATGCAATAATGAAAATACTTTATCTTGATTTGTTACCTGTGAGTAAAGAAGGTATTATTTTATAAAAAATTATTTCCTTTAAAAAATCCATTGATTTAAAAAAAAATCCTAATGTTGGATATTTTTCAAATTGATTCTTTTTTAAAGAAACAATAAAACCATATACTAAAATGGCTTTATACAGAAAATTTGAAAATTTTTTTTGGAGCAAGCCTTCATAGTTTCTGTTTATTATTTATCTATTGATTTATTTTTAGGTAAATTTCCCTTTTGTACAGAAATGATAATTTAGACACTTCATTCTAGAATAAAATAATGTAGAGTTCTGTGAACTGAGTAATATTTATATTTTATATACATTGTATTGTATTAAGTTATAGGATTTAAACTATTTTTATAAACAAGGATCACATTACCAAAATAATACTAAATTAGTATGTTTTGGAATAATTCAGTTTCATATTTTGTAAATTCCTCAACAAATATATCACTAACATTTTTTTTCAGGAAATACAGACATTTTGGTGATTATTTTAAATGTGCGATTTAATTTATTCTCCTTAACCTTTTTATCCTTTCTAATTATTTTTTTAAAAATATAAATCAGATATTGAAAATAACTTCTGGAAAAGTATAATAAATGAAAAGAATTCAAATTTTGACATTTCATTTTTCAGCTTTTTTTTATCATTATTTAAAACTTCAACTCTATTAATTGGTGTTGTTATTTCATTGTATCTTACAAATTTTGTAATCTTGTAATTATCTTCTGTGGAGACTTGAAAAAGCAGCTGCTATGATACCTAAAAATTAATTTTTGATATTTATATTTCTGTTGTATTTTACATTGCATAAATTGCATGCCATTTTTGTTTATATAAATCAACTCAAATAACTTAAGGATAAGATAGAATAGGTTAATCAATAAATCATTCAGTGTCAATTCAGTATATTGTTTGGGAATTTGAAACCCATTATTTTGAAAATTTGAATCTATTAAAATCCTAAAATTTTCTGCTTTAAAATTAAATAATTTTTTTTACATTTACAATGAAACCTTTTTAAGGATTGTGATAATTGGTATTTCTTTTGAAAACCTTTTCACTGCTCATTTTATGATTTTATACACAAGCAATTTGTTTTCATGTTGAGAAATTAAGATAATTATCTATTTTAATACTCATTTAAACAAGCATGACCTGAAGTATATACAAATTTTAAATAGATTGCAATAAAAGATAAATTGGGCCTTAATCCCCTACTGGTTCTTATTTCAACAAGCTTTCACATTTATGAATTGTAAATTAGGATATCAAGAAACAGTCTGTTCAATTTTCAAAGAAAAGATCATCATAAAATCATGTGTATGTTGTCAGAAACAAAAGAATGAAATAATTTGTATATGAGGAAACAATAAAAGGAAAAATGTCAGTCTAATTTAACAGATTTCTTTTCAATTTCATAAAGGGAATTATTTCTTTTGCATTCAATTTCTATTTTTTAATATTTGTATGTCTGAGACTGATGGTGAAGAGTAAAGTGCTTATCTTTTTGTTAGACATTAAGTTTGCTATTATTTTGTGATATGATTGACCTTTCATTTCATTTCTTACATGCAACATATTAACAAATGACTAAAAATTAAAATACTGTTAATTCAATGTCAACTTAAATGCTTAATGATTTCTTAAATGTTTCTTCAATCTTTACTGCTTGAAACACTAAGGCCACTTCAAAGAAAGCTGTTATTTTTATCCTTTTAATCTTTCTTTGTTTTTTTTTTTTTTCAGATCAATATTTAATAAATATTATATAGAAATAGAAATTATAAAATATGAAGAAATTCAATAGCTCACAAAAATCTAAAACTAGTTTCAGAACATGAGGCATATATTTCATATTAATGGTGGTTTTCTCACTGCAATGATACTGTTTTCAGTTCTTTTTATTTAAGCCATTTGTCTTTGTGCATACAGTCTGTAATACATTTTTAATTACATTTCTTGAAGCTTCAGTAACCTATCTAATAATGTGAAAAATCGAAAATCCAGTAAAATTCATAAAACTGTTGTAAAATCATGAGTGGTATTAGTCTAATATAATTTATACATTTTATATGAAATCTATTAATAGTGAAAATATATCCATGAATCACTTTATTAGTTTTTTTTTGTTTTTTTTAAATTAGGAAAAAATTAAGTGTGGTTAATAATAGGAGACACAATATAGATGAGGTAAACATTATATGTGATCATGTACTTTTAAATTCTCTTTGAACATCTACATTAACGTTTGGGTGAGAAGAACTAAATCAAATATTTGCCTGCAGAAATGAACATAATTTTAATGAACACACTCAGCTCTGTCTGTGACTAACAACAATGAGGTCAAGAGTTCATCATCAATTTAGCTTCATTCTTTTTTCTTCAATCCAAATTGCTTATTGTCACCTGGAGGTATTGATGAGATATTGATAACAGCATAATGAATTTAGTCTTTGAACATTGTACATTTTCTTTCCTTACTAAAGTGTAATACGTCCTTTGTTGAGTAAAATGTTGCATTTTAGTGATAACCTCTTCTTTAGTGTAAGTTTTATGATTACCTCAAAAAAAAGAAATGAATGATTCAATTCTTCTGTCATAATCAAATAATTAACCACTCAATTATTGTCAATCTGGGATTTTAATTTTGTTTTCCTCTTGCCAAGTTGTATTTAAAATGATACTTGATCCTTTTTTTTAATCTTTTTATTAAATCTAAGACACAGGTAGCAGTATTCTTTTTTCAGGATTCTTTTAGTAATATAAAAAAAAGGCTAGCCCAATTACAAAACTGTATTCAACAGTCTCTAATGCTAATTTACAATAAACTGTCTTTTAATCTGTATGTATTTTTTCATTGTCAGTTTTACTGTAATATTAACATGGTCATACTTGTAAAATAACAATCTTTTAATTTAGGAAATTGAGTGAATACCTATATATTTTAAAATAAAATATGAAAACCAAGATCCTTTTTGTTTTTTCACTCATTTGCCATTTTTTTTCTCTTGTTAATTTTTATCAGTCAAATCTCTTTACTTTTTAGATTAAAAGTAAAGTAATTCAATTCTTACCATTTGTTTTAATTTCAGCAGTTTCTATAAAATAAAAATGAAATAATTTGCCAATTCCAAAAATATATAATTATTCTTACTAAGGTTTTAAGGTCTAGCATTTCATTTATAAAGTCTGATTTGATTTTGAATTGGCAAACATGATCATTTTTAAGATACCAATGCAATGCACTGAAATCAAGTCTCTAAGTTATATAATTTATAAAATCTTGACAATCAGTTTTCTTGCAAAAGTGAAGTGAAATGAAGAATATTTAACCAGGTGGCAACTCCCCATCTCTTTCTTGCTTGCATGTGAATAGTGATGTGCTATAGTTTTCTTTTTCTATTGAAATTAAGTGTTTGTTATTTATAATTCTTTACCATTCTTGCATTCCATATGTCAGTTAAAAATGTGAAAACCTTAAGCTAGAAGAGAAAATATGACATCATAGCAAATCTTCTTTTAATGAAGAAAAATTTTAAATAATAAACTTTTCTTCTATTTATTTTCTGAATAAAATTTGTTTCATTCATATTTCAATTTTAAGTTTGTTTTTTGTTTTTTTTAGACTGAATGTTAACTAATCAGTAAAATGTTTTTAAAAAAAGTTTCAAAATTTTTATCCCACTGTTTTTACATTTTTAACATTTGTACCTTTAAAAAGGATGCTAAAACTAGTTGTTATTCAATTTCAAAACAAAATTTTATGTGGTGTTTATTAGCAAAAAATATTACTTATATATATATATAAAAAAAATCTTTAGAAATGCATCTAATTTGTAAGATTCTTAATTGAATTTCTTCTTACTAGATTTGTATTTTGTATCTTTTTCAGCGGGATCGCAGGCTCTTGTGCCTAGCTCCCAGAGAGAAGATAGCGCCACTGAGGAACGCATCACACAGATTTTAAATGCTGCACAACAAGCCATGCAGATGAAAAAATCAATGGATCATGTGAGTAATAAATGGATTTTTTTCTTTTTTATCAAATAAATTTTTAAAAACACTTTGTGATTCACTTAAATGAAAAGATATAAAAACTGTTTTAAAACAAACAGCACATTTAGTGGTGATTTTAGAAGTGAAGTAGGTAGACAGCATATTGGTCAGCTATTAATAAAATCTGTACCTGTTCAAAATACAGATACATTTGTGTTAGTGGAAGTCAAAAAGAATATAGACATGAAGCCTTTTAAAATTGATTCAGAAGTTTTATTTTTATTTTTGTATAATCTAGAAAACAATATTTTTTTTTTTTTTTAATATTTAAAAAAGTACATTTGTTATTACTTTTTAACTTATTTGATTCCACTTGGTTACTGAAGGCCTGTGATATTCTGCTTAATTGTTTGTATGCCAAATTGTCATGAAATATTTCTTTATTTTAATAAGTTGGTACCAAACCAACATCAACTATAGATTTTTTTTTATATAAAACTGAGAAAAGGGAAAAACAAAAAAAAATGTACCAACTTTTGAATGAGTCTGGAGAGAAATGGTTTTTATATTTAACTCAGAATTTTTATTAACATAAGGCCTTCTTGAAAAAAAAAATGAGGTCTATCTTTGCTATATTGGATGGAAAGGACAAGGCAGAGGCTCTTATGACAACTGACTGAAGATTGAGCATAAAATCCACAAAAATGAGTTACTAAGTCATTCATGTAATTTTAATCAAACATATATTAAATATATAAAATCTCAAATAATATATTGAAAAAAATTTGAAACTTTGTGGTAGAACTTTTTTTTAATATGATTGAGGAAAATAAACTACAAATATACAGAAGGGCAGCATGTGAATTTGTTCTAGCAATAGTTCAAATTCAGATGAAAAAATCAGATCATTTTTTCATTTATATTTCTCCCACTATCTTTATCTCACTCTTTTCATTAGTGATGCTGCATAAATAATTTATTTCTCAAAACTAGAATGTCACAATTTTTGTTGAGGTATTAAAAATGTGAGACATTGATTGTATGTAAAAGTTTTTAATGTAAAACTCATTTCAATAAAATTGATTCATTTTTTGATAACCTTTTTTTAATGGTTTTTTATGAGAAAATTTATTTTCCTACATTCAGAAGATTTTTTTTTTTTCAAAATTATAAACTGCTTAATATTAAATTCTGTTGGGTTATTTCTGCATCTTTCTTAATTGTTTAATAATAATTTCTCACAATTTTCAGTTCTTGTTTTTATTTCAGACTAAAAATTTCACTAGTATTCAACATGCTGGTAATAAGCGGTCACCTCCCATAGCTCATGATTTGAGTACCAACATGAGCCATCAACTACAGGTCAGCATTTTCATAGATTAGTTTTAATATATCATTAAAACTCTTGTCATGCATATATTATGCTGGCATTTTGAAATGGCTGAATGATATGTAACTTTGAGAGTTCAAAAGCTAATTTGGTGAAACTGAAGAATAGGCCTGCATTCATACTAAATAATAAGTCCTCTTATATATTCCCTAGTTCAAATAACAATGTAACCTAATTCAGTTTTGTCGAGGTCTTTCTGATAATATAAAACTTCAATTATTCCTTTAAAAATATAACTCAGAAAAAATGTTTTAAGAGAACATCTATATTAATATCCCCTGAATTTTCTTGCAAAAATATGAAGATAATTTATAATTGTAATTTAAATTTTTTTCTGCGAATACACATTGCTGTGCTTGAAGAGATTTTGTATGAATTCCTGTATATATAATAATTTTTACATTACATAGTTGTTGCTTTGATTTTTTTTTTTTTTATTATTATTATTTAAACAACAATTTCATGTTATATACAAGAAAATAATTTGTCAAGAAATAATTTTCTGGTAGACAAGTATTAAAGAACCTCTCTGACGATAATTAATGATTTATTGTACTATTTTTTGTTATCTAAAACCGAAAATGCAATATTAAAACAAATCATCACACACATTTCATATTCATAATTTTTGAAGTAATTAATGTTACTTTTGACTTTTCAGGTATCTACATCAATGGCATTAAACGCTTTCAAAGAGCACTCAAAAAACTCTGTCTCTTCTTCCAAAGCCTCTGTATCCACAACCAATGGAACTTCCACTGTGAGTTCCACTGGCCAATCCAGCCCCTCTCATGCTAATATGAACTCTTCTTCTCGAAATCGCAGTGAGTCCTCTTCCTCAACAGAGAGAAAACATGGACATAAGAGCCTGTCTTCTCAAAGCGCCTCTTCCAAAGAACGTGAACTGGCAGCAAAAGAGATGGTAACCCGTATCTACCGTGAAGAGTTGACCAAACTGGCTCAGGCAGCTGAAAGTGCAGGTAATGTGGCAGCTAGCACAATGTATCAGCAGGAGCTGGCTCGGATTGCCCAGAATATCCACCGGAGCACACCAATGCAACAGCAGCTCCACGACAATTATCACCATCAGGACAACATCAGCATTAAGACAGAACCGCCTGATAGCACATCAGACGAAAACTCTTTGCAAGCAAATGGTCCAATTGACCTGAGCAAGCCGCACAGCTCACCCCAAACCCCAACTACTGAAACAACATTTGCCGATAGCGGCCGACACACAGGAAGTGCCTTTTGCCTGGTCCGGCCGCGGCTCAATGGCCAGGACAACTATGAGTCGTCGAGATTCTCTTCCTATTTGCCTTCAGACTGCTTGTCTCCTTTGCAGCGAATGCAAAACATTGCCAATTCGTTAACGACACGATCTCATATTGGAACACCATCCACCAAGCCTCTCAAAGCGGTCCTCCCACCAATTACACAAGAGCAGTTTGACAAATATTCAAACATAGACACAGACATTTTGGTCAAGCAAGTCAAAGAGACTCTGAGTCAGTACTCAATAAGTCAGAGGCTGTTTGGTGAGAATGTTCTTGGTCTTTCACAGGGGAGTGTCAGCGACCTGTTGGCACGGCCAAAGCCTTGGCACATGCTCACACAGAAAGGTCGCGAACCTTTCATTCGCATGCAGATTTTTCTTGAAGATGGAGAAGCAATCCCCAAACTCGTCGCTTCACAGTATCGAATCCCACCTGATAAACTGATGCGAAACAATTCACAAAACCAAGAATCTAGCTCCTCCGGTAAGTTGTACTTAAAGAATCTGTGGGCTACTGCAATTCTTTACAAATGCTCCATTTATTCTAATCTTTCATTATCTTATTTGGATCTTTAATAATTTTTTTCTTCTTGTATTTGTTATATTTAATTACTCAAGAATGACAATCCAAATATCTATGGATATTAAAACATTTCTAAATCTAAGATAAAGCTTATCAAACATTTATTTCTTATTTTTGGCCCTGTGTTTATATTGCTGCTGATTTTCACACATTTTTATTGCTATTATTAAGGATTAAAACATGTCCTAAAACATTTGCACAGTAAAACTTTGTTGATGATATACAAGCCTATTTATAATTTTTGTATTTTCACTTTTTTTTTATTTTTGTTTTTTTACTCAAATATGAAATGCAAATAAATTTTTAAATATACTAATTACTTCTAGAATTTAGATTTTCTTAAAGGAATTCCCAAAAGTATTGTGGATAGGGGTGAATGTCTTAATATCAATAATTTAAACTTTATCAGGCTGAAAACATTTTTGGAATTTCAGTTTTCAATCTATTTAAATCTATTTTGAATTTAGGACCACTCTAGTTCTGAATTCAAAATAGCTTTTAAAAAATTTGGCTGTTAAATCCAACATTACTTTTTTCAGTGTCTTTCTGCAGGTGAAATATAACAACTTTAAAAAGAAATGTCACTCTGTTGCTGCCATTCTTCACACCACTCAACTATATTTTCATTTTTTTTTTTTTTTTTTTTTTTTTGTCTAAGTATTTTCATCCTAGTTTTTCTGTGGGATAAAAATAACTTTGTTAAATATCTATAGCCATATTATTTTAAAATGATATGATTTCCCTATTTTTCCCCTCCAAAAAACTGATTCTAATATCTGTTGACATTTATGCATTAATGTATTTCCTCTCAAAAATAAATGCCTATGTGCAATTTTTTAAATCATGCCATTGTACAGGTAGACTTTGCAGACCTGATTAACTAATATCTAGAATTTCAATCTGTGGGAGGTAAGTAATAAAATCCAAGTGTTTTATAATTGATGCTGTAAATCAACAATAGCAACAGCCATTCTCTCACTTCCCCCCCCACTGATAATTTGCATCACAGGTAAGAAGACCTGCTTCACATATTCTTACTTCCTGTCTTTTCATTATTAATATATCAAGATCAAAAATTTAAAATGGAACAATGTTTCTATGATCTGGAATTATGATTTTCAGTTCATTCAGTTTCCTTTCTTTCAAAAAAGAATTTATTTTTTTTATCTGATTAGTCTTCAATTTTTATCTATTTTTCATTTTATTTATTAATTTATTTTTTTTTTTAGACTATACAAGAGACTGATCCTTTCTCTTTCCTTTTGCGTGTCATTTCATTTGAATCTACTACTCATTGCTTGTGACCTGCTCAGACATATTTTGCATGTTTTGGTCAAATCTAATGAATAAAAGTAGATAAAGGCAGCTTCCTTGTATCCTCATGTTTCAGAATGTTTAAGCGACAACCAACAATGTCAGGTGGGACCACTGCAATCTCCACCGCTGCCTACCAAATTGAAAACTGACCCATTGTGGGTCAGCAGCAGCAACACCAACACCACCACCACTACTACCACCACCACCAACAGCAACAACAACAGCAGCAGCAGCAGCAGCAGCAATATGAGCAGCAGTGGCAACAACCCAAGCAGCACAGCCGTCGGTAGCTATCCCACGTCCATGTTTGAAATAGCAGCCATGACCTCTGAAATTGACACTCTTGATGTGACCAGTAAAGTTAAAGAGGTTCTGCAATTTCATAATTTAGGGCAGAGGCTATTTGGAGAAGCAGTGCTTGGCCTATCACAGGGTTCAGTCAGTGAGCTTCTCTCGAAACCCAAGCCATGGCACATGCTCAGTATCAAAGGGAGGGAACCGTTTATCAAGATGCACATCTGGTTGGCAGATCCTCACAATATTGAGCGTCTTAAATGCTACCAGAATGAGTTGAAAGGTAGGTCCGTGCGTGCATTGGGCGTGCCTCCTCCTCCTACTACTCCTCCCTCTTACCACCCTACTCCTATTCCCTTTCCACATGCTAAAGCTGTATCATCCTTGCTGCTGACAATGGAGTCGGTTTTATTAACAACATGCTCGTAATCAGTTGATTGGCCAACTGTTACTAGAGCTCTTGTTCTTGTCTCAACTGTTTTTGGACTCCATTCAGTAAACAGATTTGGCCTTAATTCATTACTACCAGTTTTTGGGGGTTTTTTTCCCACTCATTTCTTTCCTTTGGCCAAATAACTTCACCAAAATTTTAATCATTTTGAATGATGAAATATTTTGAAAACTGCAAACTATTTTGAACATAAAGAAATGTTTAATTATTTTTTGAAGCTGAAAATAATTAACTTAATTATTATGGATTAATGCTTAAATATTATATTTATATATTTTATGTGCAGAAATACATAAATCTGTTGAAATTGAAAACTAATTGGAAGCACTTTTATAACAATAGTTAAAGAACATCTGTAACTGAACTTGAAAAGAAAACTTTAGGATCACAAATGTTTCATAATTAATTTTTCAATGCCCTGAGTTTATTTCTTAAAATTATGCTTAAAAAATATATACAAATATACAACTTTTAAGTCATTATATAAATTGTATTACATAAATCTAGACAAGTAAAAAGATACTTTAATAGTTGAATTGGCAAAATGTGATAAATTTGATAATACAATTATTTTTCTAAATTCATATTTAGTTTTGAAACTGCTGGGACAGGAAATAATATATTTCTAGGATTTGTCCAGTAAATTATCTACTTTTGACTCCTAAATATATGAACGTAAAAATATGAATAGAATTCTTAATGAAGTAATATTTATAAAGTAGGTATTAATGATTTCTGCTTCCAGAAATAATATAGCACAAAATATATTTTACTTAAAATGTGTAATTAATTAGGTTTAAATAAACAAATGCAAATATCAATTATTTGTTTATCTGATATTTATTTATGTATTTAATACAAGTGCATAAATTGAGAAAAAATGTGAAAAATGTGGCTGATGTTTTTAAATTTATAATTTACCTATGCTCACTTTAAACTGTATTGAGTATGAAGAATAAGCTATTTTTGAAATGTAACAATTGCACATCTTTGAGTTTTTTCCTATTTGCTACATTTTATCTTTTGCATTATCTTATTTTTGATATTCCCTATATATGTATTTTAAAATATTTTATATTAACAATAAAGAATTGTATATGTAAAAAAAAAAAATACTTGTTGAATGTGAACTGCCAACATAATCTTTGACAGGAAATCAAAGATTGTTATGTTGACAGTTATTATTCTATAATAGAAAAACTAATATCAAGATATCACGATTGCCATCATGCAATGAAAAATAATTAAAAAATATATCTAAGAAAATTTTCTGATTGATTTAATTAAAGTTAAACAGAATAAACTTTTATTGTTGTTAGTAATAAAAATGATTGTCCTTAAGCTGAATTTTTTTTTTTTTTAAATTTTGAGGAATTTTAACAGTTTAGGAATTTTATAGTTTGCTAGTTATTCAAAATGACCTTAAATGATTATATTTTTATATACATATATTTATACATAGTGCAAATATTTAAAGCTAAATGCTGTGCTAAACTTCCATTCCAAATTTAATTTTTGTAAAAGGTTTGTTAAAGTTTAAAGTGTGTCTCTCAGAACATTTCAAAGCCTGTGGCATCATGTAGCAAACTAGTGTGCTTTTGCTGACACAAGAACAAGAGCAAAACAAATCAGTGAGTTTGGGTTTAGGTTTGACAAGTGTTCCATGTACTAACTGCTTATCATCTTTCTTTTTAATAATGTCAGCAAACAAATAGTGAAGATGGACAAAATTTTTTTGCTTTGGGTTTTTTGGGTTTTGTTTTTTTTTTTTTTTTTTTTTTTTTATTTTTTTTTTTTTTTTTTTTTTTTTTTTTTTTTTTTTTTTTGCAAACTTCTGTAATTTTCTGTAATTTATATTTCTTCTTTTTTTTTTTTTTTATTTATTTATTTTTTTTTTCATACATATATTACCAGTTACTGGTTCAGGCATCAGATTTGCTTTATTTAAAGCAAATCACAGGGTAACCAAAAAAAGCCCTTGCCATTTTTGATTTATTAGAAAAAAGGCATACCATTAGTCCTCAAAATAATCCTCATTGCCATCCAGGACCTTTTGTCAACATGCCTCCTATGCAGTACCTTAGCGGTAAAAATCAGGTGTTTAGGACGCAAGGAAATGAATACCTGCTGCAAACCTGCCATATTTTCAAAGAAATTTCCCACAAACGTTGTTGTCCAGAGAATGGAAGAGGTGCAAATCTGTTGGTGCAGTGTCTGGGAAGTAAGGAGAATGGCACAGTGTCTCCCAGCCAAGTCACCGTATGGTATCCCTGGCTATCCATACCACATGAGATTTGGCATTGTCATGGAGATACAGTATAACCTTGCAATTAACCAATGCTGTCTCCTTCTGCTTCAGGGCCTGTTTCACATGTTCCAAGTGCTGCAAGTAGGGATCTGAAGTGAGGGTTTGACCTATTGGTAGCAGCTCATAGTGCACCAATTGTCAACTAGTCCATTAGATACAGAGTATGATCTTGCAGTTGGTCTTGTGGTGTAAGGCACATGATCTCATGGTGACAACCAATGACTGCACATAGGACACACTTTTCATCACTGGTGAGCACTCAATCAAATATGTGTATATTGCAGTGCTGAGGAAGCACAAGAAATGGGTTGTCACTTGTTACTTGTTGGCTTTTGACAGTGTGTGGAGTACCCTCTTGCTCAACCTGTACAACTTCCCTATGTAGTTTCATCAGAAATCTGGAAGCATTCGCCAAGCACACCTTAGTTTTGGCCACTGTGGGGTTCATCACAAAGGGACAAATCTCCTGGCATGAACTCTTCTGGAACCAATTCCTGGTGGTGTGTTCACTCGCAGCATTATCTTCAAAGAGTAGGCATATTTGGTCATTTGATGCAGCTGCGAATACACCCACCTTAAAGTCATAAAGCAGGCAACCCCCAAACATACTGCTTCGATGCCTCCATGTTTTCTTACCACTGCTCAAGCTATGACTGATGTGTGTGCACAACGCACTAGCATCCCCATAACATAAAAAACATCAAGAGCTTTTGTGGCTATAAAAAAGAATTGAGATTTGGTACACAAAGTGCATTTGTTTATATATATATATATATATATATATATATATATATATATATATATATATAGTGTGTGTGTTTGTCTCCAATCTGAGGGGATGGGTAAAAAAACAAAGCAAAAAAAGAACATTAAAAAAATGTAAGTGATTACCTCCCTTTGCCCGAGCTTGTTAATTGGATTTTGGTGTTAAATTATTAACCAGGTTTAGACTTTTTCGAAGTCAATTTAAGGTTGGTGCTTGGGAATCTGCTAACAACAGAGGTCATGATCCTGCTGACAAGGATGTGGGATACGCTACCAATACTTACAATCAGAACAGTTCTTCAAGTAACTAACTAACATTTTATTGCATGGCTGTAACTTTTTTTTTTTCCTGGTAAATTTTGTGCTATCATTTTCATCTTGTATTTGAGAAATTTCTAATCATAAACTGGTCATTCATTTATCATTTTCTTATCTCTCATTTTCAGCAATGATTCTTTTATTTTGTTTGTGTGTTTCCGGATGAGTGTGTGTGCGTGAGTGTGCGTGTTTACTGCATTCATTGATATTAAACCTTTGTTTTTATCTCTTTCCCAGTAGCTTTCTTTTCACTGTTTGAAACTTGAAACAAGCACTTGACTAATAGTCTTTTTATCATTTCTCTATTTGTTTTTTTTTTTGTTTTGTTTTTTTTTTTTTTTTTCATTTGTCAATTTGAAATAAATTTTATTTTTCCTTTCTGTACAACCATTTCTGATTGAATCATTATTAAACTGGACTAGTTTTCTGCAAATTATTCAAGCCACATGATTCTTGTGATGTTATCTGTTTTTACCTTCTACTTTTGGCTAAATGAAAGAGTTTTAGCTGCTGCTGCTGCTTACAAATCAGATTTGTCTCTTTCAAATAAGTAACATTTTACAATTGTATCTAGAAAGATAATTACATTATGTTGCATTCATGTACACATTTTTCATTAATATTTCTAAGATAACAGACTGCACTTGGCAACAGCTTACTTGTGATATAGTGAAATTTAAAAATAAAAAAATATATGACTCTATCCCAATTTCTCCAGAATGTTCTTGTACATTAATTATAATAGATTTTTTTGTTTTCCTGATAATGTTCAGATTTGAGTTTTGTGAATTGTTTCTGATGCCATTGGCTCAACAGCTTGCATTTTTTTAATTGTTTATTAATTTTTAATAAAAAATGAAATTTAAAAAATAAATATAACTCTATAATCGCAAAAATATCAATAAAACATTTTTACATACTTATCAGCAATGTATATTCAATTGAATAAAAAATGAGTAAT